ACTGCGTTGTTCGACGTGATGGTGGATGAGTTGTTCGACTAGGTGAAACTAGGAACGTAGCTTAGAAAGTTCGACCTTTTGATACAACGGTCTATACTCCTATATTGATGCCTGACTCGTAGACAACGAGCGAGGACTTATGGACAGTGCGTCGTCCTGAAGATCGAGCGAGGAAGTCGAGAATGACCACTACCCCAAGCGAAGAGGAGCAGAGACTTGAATGAATAACCAGGTCGAACTTAGGGTTCGACCAACTAATGGTACAACTACTTATACAAGTACCGACTGCGCACGGACCATCGTGTCTATGTGGTCGTGTTAGTGAAGAAAGAAACGTAGTGGTACGATACCAGGCACGAAGTGCGCACGGACCCCATTATGTAAGCTACATAATGTTCAACCTGCGGGTGAGCGCTAAGACAGGCGCCAGTATGGGCGCTAGTAGTACAAGGAATAGAACGGAAAGACAAATGTTTCATGGGTATTCTAGATGATGCCGGATTGGAGTTCCAACAATACAAGTGGCGGTATGCAGTACACCCTAGGGTTGGCCCCAGAGGTCATATGAATGACTTCTTCTATTTGTGGTGCTCAATTGTTCAAGATGGTGCTCGTAGGCACGTTTGAGGAAACACCGCCGAAGTGGAAAGTGGTTAAAGGTATTCAGCTTCTACAGCAAAACCAATATTGATAGACCTCCCCTCGCAAAGTATACACTTCGGCAAAGTGGGGCAGAAGCTCGCGGCAGTGGTGCAGCGACGGCGACGATCAGAGACGGGCCACTGAGTAGATGCTTGTTGTGATCCCCTTGTCTTCCGACCATGGTCGGTGTGTTGACTTTCGCCTTGGGGACGAGATGAGGGGAGTGGGAACGCGGACGCGAGCGAGCAAAATGGACGGATTGTTACAAACGCGTGGGGGCCAGGTACGGCCGCGCTACGGTACAAGTACTCTACAGGATCGATGTATTTTACTTGGCAATCGTGCTATGATTGTTCTCCCAGCTAGGCACAGGGGCGTCGGGTCGGCCTGCTCGACACCGCGGGCCCCAAAATCTAACACGGTGATCGTCAATATGTGCATCCTGCTCAGAAAGGATTGGTTGTATACATGTCTCGCTCTATGGCTAATGATCAGAAGCTACTGGTATCACGTCACAGTGGGGTGCAGGTCGTCGCTGTATGCCATTGCTTGCGGAAGCAGACGGACAGTAGACCTCGACAAACGGACAGATCTTGAGGCATTGGTGTAGATTACTTTATATGGGTGCCGCGAACAATCTCTGAGGAATGAATGCACATCACCCCGAGGTGCCGAGCGCCATTATGCTCCATGCCGCCTATCTGTACTTCTCGCGAGGGAGGTCTATCAATATTGGTTTTGCTGTAATGCACGTGTGGAAGCACCACTTTATCAGCTTATACTTATGATACTGGTATGTTGAGTACGTGGAGCCTTGTCGCGGATGCGGATCTTCCCATTACTATCGCCCTGTGCTTAGGTCATCTCAAAGGAGAGCTCAAGCCGAGTGTCACCTATATAAGGTTTGACCGGGATGTGATGGCACTGACATAGGCTGTACAGCGTGGAATCGCTTCTTGAGAACCTGATACTCCCCTCCATTCACTGTGTCATCTTGTGTGCGCGCGTCTTCGCTCGTTACTGATGCATCAGATGGTTTTCCCGCGTCGTGGGATGGTCTCAACACGCCGCTCCAATGATGGACTCAATGTGTCTTAATATCTGCGAGTAAATCGGAATTTGCGAAACGGAGAGCATGGAAAGCAAGAAATGTGTGCTCCGCAGACTGACTAATAGGAGTCTCCGGACTTAGTTAGGCTCTGTATCGTCAGGATGCTACCTGCCCGGTGATCAATCGCGCAGCGGCGAAGTTGCCAGGAGGCCGTAAGCGCGGCTTCCCTGACGAAGCGAGTCCGACAACGCCGGGACAAGCCGACTTCACGATTCTCCATGGCTTCCCCAACGCTGGCGCGTGCCAGTCAATTTAACAACATAAGAGGTAGCGTTTGAAGTTGTAAGGCTGCTTGCTAAAACTCTGTAAAGCGCGATGGGATTGAGAACTTCATGCTCCGGCTCCGGTAGCTCGAGAGTCGAGATAAGTTCTGGGATCGTGTGACATTTCAACGGCGTTAAGTCAGGTGAGATGATTGAGTCTATTCAGATCTGACTCGACTGCGGCCCGCTGCTTGGGGTTAGGTTACCAGGTAAGCGCCCGGGCTGCGTACTAACCTTACTACGGAGGGAGGGAGGGAGGAAGTATATAGACTCTTCAGATGCCGTGACAGCTGCTTCGAAGACTGTCCACTTGGCAGTTATGGTGTGCAGACTTGACGTATCAGGAATGTAACGATGCCTCCGAGGGATGCTGTTACATCGCATTCGCAATTTCACGGTTGCCACAGAGTGAGCGTCTCCCCGTGAGTCGTGGGCTCCGGTGATTCCGGGTTGCTTCTATCATCGGGGACCGTGGTAGACTCGGCGCTCTAGTGTCAAAATGTATCTCGGAGAGCGTTGCGCGTGAGCTGTCGCCTTCTGGTGGTAGCTATCTATCATTTGATATTATCATACATCAATATCTACATATACCAATAGACATATACCAGTAGATACATGATTGCATACTAGTGCCGTCGCCTGCGCTGATCACCTGCTCGTCTAGCATCTCTTGGATCTGACAATGGCCACCGATATTGAGACTCTCGCGGGAGGGTACTTCGTCGAGGTCCTCTTGGCAATCATGTACGAAGCAACTCGTTGTTATCATTCTGTACAACTCATTTGAGATTGATGTTGAACAGGTTGTACGGCGTTGCGATCACACAAGCATACGTGTATTGGTGGGATTACCCAGACGACTCGAAGCGATCACGGTGGACGGTTATTATCCTGATGTAAGTCGCGTTACTCTAATCACCACCTGTAAAATCATTCAGCGTCTTTGCTCCACAGGATCATGGAGACTCTACATACCGGATTCAACTTTGCTGCGATGTACGAATACCTCATCATCGATTTCAACAACATAGAAAAGATACAAACTCTCGTATGGTACGTGGCACTCTCTGGCGCTTTTGGATAGCTTCATAATATTACGGAACAGGAGCTATGCAGTAAGTTCTGTGAGCAGGAAATTCTTGTGCTTAGTCACTCAACGCCATGCATTAGACATCAGTGGTCCTAGCGGTGTGTGTCTATATGCGTTCTGAACGCCACATGATCTAAAACCATGTGTAGATCCTGATTGCAGCGATTGTTCAAGGGTAGGTCCCATCGACAATCAAGGTCTCGTGTGATACATTACCAGCATGCCTCTACAGGTTCTTGATTCAACGCATCTGGATATGTGCGTGGGTCGTGTACCTGTGATACTGTTCCTTCGTCTAACAACTTTGTCGTAGTGAGCAAACACAACGCCACTATGACAAGCATTCCGGTAATGTCGCGAGATCAATCATCAAAGCCTTGAAATTGAATGTGACCAATCATGCAGGCCGTCATTCTTTTATTCCGAGTGTGTAAGTTGTCAACGACATACCGACTGTCCCTTCAGTGCCATTGACTCGCTGCGATCAGCCATAGGTCTTGGTAGGTACTGTAACATCGATCCTCTTCTGACACCTACTGATCGTGATCGCACCCCAGTTGCTGCAGGCTATATGTAGGACATCTAGTTGCCTGTGCAAAAGTCGCCTACCGATTGCATGACACAGGTTTGAGCTACGCAGTTGGCAACTGTACCGAGACACGGATGTGTCGCGTGTGAGTGGCATCAACTCATTGAGAGCTTCCCCCCCTCCCGTGAAAGTTCTTGGGCTAACCGACATACTCGTTCTAGGGCTTGATAACTTGCAGTGTCAGCCTTGCAGCAATGGGGGATCTAATTATTGCCTCAATTTTGATTTTCAATCTGCAGCAAAGCCGTACTGGGTCCAATCAGTGAGGATGACAACACGTGTTCCGAGTCATCTCGCCGTATCATAGTGTTGAACATGATCCCTAGCACGGACCATCTTATCAAGCGGGTCCAGATGTACGTGGTCAACACCGGAGCTCTGACCATGTGAGAGGTCATCCCCGCTGCTGAATAGTCTAAATGTGCTTATTGATTTGACATAGGTTTGTTTCGCTAGCGATTGTGATTACCGTGCGTAGTAAGGGTTTAGGTGCTTATATCTGTATCACTTACGTCCTGAGGGGCAGTTTGAGGTACGGACGGGAAGTCTCATCTTTGCTGGTCTAATCGAAGTGCAATGCAATCGTAAGATAATACGCTATCAAATTCTTCATAATACACTCACAGTTCACGTATATTACAGTGTATACGATTACGTTCCTTGCAACGTTTGTGCTTTGCTACGAGGCGTTAACGATAGACTGACAAATACATAGGCTAAATGCTCGTCAACACTGGAGAAGTCGCCGGAGGTATAGAATGAACGATATTGTGTCTATGGAGCTCTCTCCTAGAGTGACGAGCGCTCAGGCGCAAGGGACTCAAGCAGTAAGTGACCGCCAGTCCTGTACGTGATTGGGTTACACTGATAATGTTGTGTAGCCACAGATCGAGATATTGACGACGGTCTCAAAAGTGACCGACAACATGCTCCACCGCGAACATGGCGTCCCCAAGCCGCTTATTTCAAGTGTTGTCACTGATGATAACATGGAGCCAAGCAAAATTAAAATTCTCAACGATGATTATTGAATTGTGTACCAGTCCTGTAGCACTTCGACAGTGAATACGCAAATAGTCAGAATGGATCTATGTCACGCTGTTCGTAGATCGCGCCGGTGAGGAGTGTTAGACGCGCGACGAGGGCGCTTAAGCCGATTTTCGTCCACACCTGCATCTCGTCGATGTTGACGTTGAGTTTCGACGATCAGTATATGTCACTTCACCAGCCCAATCACTCCTGGGATACACGAAAAGAGCATTGCGCTAGCAGATGTTCTCACGACTATAGGAGTTACGGGTTAATATGACTTGTGGGTGTAGGGTGTTTCACTGTCAGATAGGCTCGGTGCGCTGTCTCCTTGCTTTCTGCGTCTCGCTCTGCCTCTTTTGTTAACCCGGAAGTCCGATAATATAGAGATACGGATAAACAAGCTTCACACAATTGTATACCCTAAGCTGCCCTGGCAAGCACGAGTCACACCGGTACCTTTCGCGTCATTCGGCATATTGGCACTCCTATATCACGCCGAAGCAAGAAGGCAAGGTGGAGGAGGCACTAGCCATGGGCGTCGATCTTCATCTCTTGCCCAAGTCCACCATGGTGCAGAGCTTTGTGAACAACTAATAGTAGCTCATCATCGCCAGCAGTCGTTGGCATGGACCCATCGGCCTTACTGTCCTTCATAGAGCCTTACGACATCAATTTCGCCCTCCCGTTGCACGTGGACACACTCACATCGTGTCGCGGACGCCTCACACCATTGGTCCCACTTCTGCAAGCTCGTCGCTTCTGGGACGTGGCCGAATTGCACCTTGATGAGCTCTTCCGCTACTTCTCACACGCTTTGAGGACATCCGCCGCCAGCCCGAGTGGTGCACGTTCGCCGTCCTCGACCGCACGCAGGGCGACGCGCTGGCAGGCGTTGTGTCGCTCACGAACACGTCTGGGGCGCACTTCCGCATGGAGATCGCACGGATCATGATTCTTCCTGCATTCCAACGTATGAACATTGCGCGAACTGCAGCAGCGCTCCTCCTGCGCTACTGCTTGCAGCCGCCGGGTGCGTCCCCGCCTGGCCTCGGCTTCCGCTGTGTGCAGTGGTGTGTGCACCCACGAAACGGACCCTCGCTCCGCCTCGCGAGGCGATTGAGGTTCAAGGATGAAGGTGTTGTGCGATTCATATACGCGCTGCCAAAGGTGCATGCTCTGACGAACGTCGGGTATGAGGTTAAGACGGAATATAGCGACGGGCGAAAATCAGGTGAAGGGGTGGGCACGTCATACAACAATACTGTCTGTGTGCTGGGACGATTGGGAGCGAGAGGTGAAGGAAGGGATGGCAGCAGTCATCGAGTCCTGAGATTTGTTTGCTATCTTGTGCGTCATCTCACTGGAACAACCTGAGCAGCTGCAAGACACCTTTGACGGTCGCTGACGAGTCGATCGTTGCACCGAATACCAGAAACACTACATGATGATTACGGTCTCTAAGTAGAGAAGCATCTGCTGATCGATCCCCCTCGTGTTACCTGTGCTGCTAAAGGAGGGGTAGAACACTGCGTCATGGAGTGGCTTCATCATTTGTCTAGTTACGTAGACGTCGGAGCAGTCCCATCGCGGGTGATACTGTGGATACGAAGTTGAGGCCAGATGCCACGGGAAGGTTTCGCATCGCTCAGGTGATTACAGCTCCCGTAATCTCTCACTCGCAGATTAAGGGATGCTGTGTATGTTCGAAGTTTTCAATGATCCTTCCTCGCTCCAGAGAATGCAAGCCTCCCATCAGGTTTTGGACATCTAAGGGCGTTTAGATAGCCACAATACATTCGCGCAATTAATGACATTGGTGACATATTTGGGGCAGTGAGAAACCTAGATAGACGTTGGTACTTATTACCCCAGTTCGGTAGGTTGCACATTCGTTACTACTCGTTGTACACATACATGTTTACGGAGAACTTGCTGCAGTGCAAGCTTACAGCTAGTTGCAAAATGATGCGGAAAACGCATTTTTTTCGCAGAGCCCGGAAACACCGGGCCAGATGTCCGGGAAGGGGGAAATCGGAAGCAATCTCAGTCACGTGGCTATCCCATCGGCGTGTGAGCATTTGGCGCTCATTGTGTCACTATACACTAGTGTAAGGCAAATAAATCGGTGTAAATTACACCGTACTTTTTTACAGGTAATTTACAGGTAATTTACACTTTTTTACGAGGCTGTCTGATTAGCGGTGTAAATAATGTAAATAAGGAAGGGTCACGTGGTGGGTACCCGCGTCCAGCCACCACTTGGGGCCGATGCCTTGTGCCTCTTGTGCCTCTCACGCTGCCCCGGGCTATTGTTTTGTCAACGCCGCTGCGTAGGTTTAGTGCGCCACGTTCGGTCTCTTTGTGCTAGTATATATATAAAGTCCAATCAATTGTATTTCCCCCCAATCTTTTGCTGTGCAGGCTGCTCTCTGGCAGCATCCCCCTCGGTCACTCCCATGGCACCACAGTCGACGAGCCACGCTGGCGTCTTCCTAGAAAGCGAATGGATTGGGTCTGGTAAGAAGTTCACAAAAGATTTACCTGCCTATGTCAAGACGGCCCTCGAGGCCGAACTTTCGCTGCCACCAGCAATACTATCCTTGGTACTACCAGGTAGCATCAAGGGGTTCGAGCCGGAGGAACGAGACGACGAGGAGACACTGATGTGGCTCGATGAGCCTGCTACAGTTATCCGGGGAGAGTCTGGGTTTGTTGCTGCAAACGAGGTGAACCTTAATGACCCGGACCTTCTAGAGATGCTCACGACATCGCCGCCGTCGTCTAGGGCTGGAAATTCACAACGGCCGCGCACGGATGTTCAGGAGGACTCGGAGCTAGTAAATGTGAACGAGCCGGCAGAAGATGGTAAGACATTGTGGCAATTTAATTGGGATGTGTAGGTACTTTACAGCGTGTACTAGAAACTCTGTACGCCCTTGCGTGTAATTCGGACGCTCCCTGAGGCTTTTTTTACATATGTTTACACTTTTTTACTGTTTTTTGACTGTTTTTTACACGCCGGAGGGGCGTCACGTGCCGAGGAGCAAAAGTCCCGTGATTTACTGTAATTTACATTTTTGACCGTGTAAAAAACGGGGTCCCGAAACCTGGGGGTGTAAAAAACGGTAATTTACATGCCGATGAATTATTTACCCTACACTACTATACACCGCTCGAGCTTTGTACATACTAGTACTCATGACCACCGGAGGGTACGCCTCCTCGGAGGCTGCCAGACATAATTTTCCTCAGCCACCATAATCTACTAAGGTACTAGTACTATTGGATGCGGGAAGGGCGACAAAGGCATTGGCAAAGACGCTAAGATGCCCCACGGTCACGTGTAAGCATGGTCCCCGGTCTCCTCCTTCCCGGTCCCCTGGCCCGGTGTTTCCGGGCTCTGCGAAAAAATCGCGTTTTCCGCATCATTTTGCAACTAGTTATAAAAGCTTTATGGTGGAAATATGCCCGTATCAATTCAAGCGAGCTACCCCATAGCTCCAGGCTGATACATCACGACATAAAGTAGTTACTTGAGATATTTATTCGGCTGCCAAGGGAGTGATTTGGGTGAGAAAGGTGCACGTGACTGATGATAGCACGGCGATCTCCGTCCGACCAAAAACCTCCCTTTGCTTGTCATACCCTTCGGAATTACAGGATCGTATAGTCATGTCTCGAGCAAGCAAGGCGAGGATAGCCAGTCGCAGCGTGCGTACATACTATACGAGCTAATGAATCAGCCAATTATGACAATTGGTGCGAGGAGGGTTGCCTTAGTAAGTCAAGGACCCGTCCACAGAGCTGCGTCTGCTAAAGCATAAGGACAAGGCATAGCCTTATTCCTGACTAGTGATTTGTGACCTTCCAGCCTGGTATCCACAGCGTGAACATCTACTGACGATGCACCCAGGCACATGGTTGAGGAAGAAACGAGAGAATACTGCGATCTGGCGCCTGCGATTCAGTAGCAATACTATTCCACAGTGGGCAGATAGAACGCGTCCAGCGAACTGGAGCCAGCATCATGGCCATGGAGCGCTCGGACTGTGGCAATGCCAGCTCGCCCACGAGAGATGAGATGGTGATCAAATAATGACCATCACTTGCACATTCAACTGCTCGAGATGCGCCACCCATATCAAAAGCCTTGTGAGTATGATGCCAAGTAACCCACGTTATGGGACCAATTAGCAGTCAAATATCAAAGTTCATCGGCTGCGTCGTTCCGGCGTAGTCAACGATTACGAAGCAGTGGCTCATCTATATTTGGCTCGGCCGTGTCGCAGCTTCAAACCCAACTACACCCTGCATTTTGACCCTACGTCATGTGCTAGACAAGCAGCAATAGATGTCGTTATTACGCTTCACGCAAATGCGTGAGATCCCACGAACACTATACAGTTTGCATCTTTATTGATGGAAGCACCCTACTCGGTGTCATAAGGGTACTGAAACCCATCTGACGACTTACCGCATTCTGCAAGAGCGAAGTGGAAGGCTGTCATCGCCTCGAGGAGCGCACCGGTTCGTGGGGTCATAGCTTACTATAGTAATCGTCCACACTGAAATCTTCGGGCGTTATGATTGTATCTGCTGCGATACTCCGTGTCTGCTCGTAATCATGAATGAAACAGCGCTTGTATGGACATTGGACATCTGTTGGAGGCCGACTCCACCAACAGATCACTCCTATCTTGGGTACTAAACTTGACGATATCCCGTGCAATCTGTTCAAGCTGTTGTCGGCGTCACGCATCGCATCGCATATATGCTAGCGTAGTAGTTTCTCCGCAGCATGTCCCTATCGGTGTTCTAAGTATCCCTCTTCGAGTCTGCAGGCCCTAACAATGGCGACGTCGGTTGAGCATCTTGTAGGCGGTTTTTTCGTCTTGGTCTTGCTAGCCATCATGTGAGATATTGTTCTCTTCTCTGGCACCTTTGATAAAATAATAGACTTAACGAGATCTTATTCTAGGCTGTACGGCATTCTGACTACGCAAGCGTATGTTTACTGGTGGAATTACGCCAATGATTCAAGATTGTCTCGGTGGACAGTTGCCGTCTTGATGTACTTATACTCTTTTCTCGCCTTGAACATCTACAAAAGTCTCGGTATGTTTCACTAGGATCCTGGAAACGATTCATACGGGCTTCTGCTTTGCTGCGCTCTATGACTATGTCATAATCGACTTCAATGATGTACTCAAAGTTGATGATATCGTGTGGTACGTCCTTAGTTAGCTTTCTGTCGGCAACTTGCACTGACCAGATGTTGTAACAGGACCTATGCAGTCAGCTTCTATGCGCTCTAATGACTTATCAGTATCAGACTGATGGATAAAGTAGACCTCAGTCATTGCAGCGGTGCATATTACTCGTTGGTATGCAGTTTAAGTCAGGGATGATGATACAATACACAGATAATCGTTGCCACGATCGTGCAAAGGTCAGATTGGAGTCGCGTTCTATTTCTCCACGGGTATTGACGCTTATGAGTAATAGCTTCTTCATCCATCGAATCTGGATCCGTCAGTGCATTATATTCCGTAGCATATGACTTGCGCCCCTAACCGTTTATGGCAGTGAGCAAGCGCAGCGTACTGATAACATCCATTCCCGTAACGACAAAAGTCCTTCGTGATAGCATACCACACTGGCTCACATCCTTTGCACAGGCCTTTCTCCTCTTCTTCAAGGCGGGTGAGTTGTTACACTTTGAATTATCTGCGGTACCGACTCGATGATCTGACACTATGGTTCTGTCAGTTCTCGGCCTTGGTAATATTTTGTGGAATTCCACTGAGAAGACCTTACACTCATGATAATATTGCCTTGGAAGCTACAGCGTCATATATGTATGTCACGTATTGTCGTACAGAAGTTCTCGACAAATATTTTGTACAGGTATAAATTGCGAACATGGGCCGAATTCCGGGGGAAGATTATGCCGCTCGTAAGCCGATACTTGCAGGCGTTTTCCCTGCACCGATGTGAATGTGACGACATGTGGTAGTCCCTTTTTGCGAGCAGTCTAAGCCTCGCGGCAGCAGTAGATCTGATCATATCCACAATGCTGATAGTCAACTTACAACAAAGTCGTACTGGATCTCACAGGTTGGTACTCGTGCGCCTCTCCCGGACACAATACATGCTAATGATCATCGTCATCCTTCATAGGACAGACCATATAATCAAGCTCGTTCAATTGTACGCGATCAACACCGGAGCTTTAACGATGTAAGTATCGTATAAACATCTACTTGCAATGCTTTATTCACTGTATGTGTCAAGGCTTGTTTCGCTGGCAATAATACTCACAGTACGGTCGTTGTACATCAACTCGCAATCAAAAAGATCACATAGATTTGACAGTTTGCTCTCCTGAAAGACAGTCTGGTGTTTGCCGGCCTTGTGGAAGTCCAGAGTAAATGTAAGTAAAGGACGCTGATATACTCTGTCTACTTTTTCTTACAATTAAAATCCCCATTGCAGTGTATACAATTGCATTCCTCGCAACGTAGGTTTTCTGGTTGCGTCCATCCATCACTGAGCGCAGGGGGCTGACTGAGGTTCCTATCTGCCAGATTGAATGCGCGTCAGCATTGGAGGGTCAGAAACAAAAATGTAGTGCATGAGATCATCTCCATGGAAATGTCTCCCAGAATGCCGGCTGGTCAAGATCCAACATCTCCACTTGTAAGTGTTCAATTCTTCTCGAATGATCATATGGAAAACTCGAAGCGGCATACACTGACGTGAACCATGAAGCCACAGATTGAGATATTGACAACCATCAGCAAGGTCACTGACAATATGCTCTGTCATGACCATACTGCGAAGGCGCCTATGTCTGAGAGGAGCGCGGATCTGATTAAGACTCAGACGCTCCTTTGAAGTCCTTATTCTCTATATGTGATGTATTTGTACAATGGTTCTGTGTGAAATTTTAGTGCTTGAACAAGCCAAGGCTAAGGATATTTGCGCATTGATTGATACATATGGACTTAACGATACATGATGCGGCTGAGACACTAATGGTGGCACAAACTTGTGCGCGGCTTTGAAAGTGGGGACAAGACAATCATGAGCGTGATGCGATGCTATCAACATCAAGGAAAGAAATCTCGGCTTCTCCAGTAGCGCATCCACGCTTTGACTTCGTTCTTGCCGAGGCGAGGTAGGTTCGCAATAGTGGCGCTGGCCTTTTCCGCGTGTTGTGTCTCAAACAACGGTAGACCTCCTATCTCTACATCATAACTGCCAGCGGTATTCGTCTGTTTCTCGAGGACTAGCAAGCCGTCGTAGAAGTCCAACAACTTCAGGGCGGGCTGTGGAGGTTTTAGTGTTTATCAACGAATGAGCCTATCAATACAGCACAAACACTTACTATGTCTTGGAGATCCTGAGAAGAAACATGCTCTGCTGCTTTCTTCAGTTTTTCTACCCAAGCTTCCCAAGCTACGAAAGGTACGTCAAGCCCGAGCTCAGTGTGAACCATAGTCATGACTTCGTGCGTCTCAATGGGACGGGGGTGTAGCAGGTTGACAAGTGGGACGTCGTATGTGCCGAGTATGATGTCACACATAGCTGCAGCTGCATGATCCATGGCTATCCACGACACAAGCTATAAGTAATAGATCAGAATCTCGTATTGTGATAGCGGTCAGACAGGGAACCGAAGAACCTGAAAGTGTCAATCAGAGGACGACTTACCCCGCTCATCTTCGGGAAGCCCCCTAGGGCGATACTGGATTTAATGAGACTTGGATACCACTCAGTTGTTCTCCAGACGCCGTATGTTGCCGATCCGGATAATTGGCCTATTCTCAACGACGTCGTCTTCATTCCGGTTTTTCGTGCATTGGCCAGAATCTATGGAGATGCAAGATGAGATAACGAGCATTTTGTCTCATCACAGCGACTCACGTTTTCTACAACATACTTGCTGGCCCCATACCCAGGTCCCAGAGCCACTGCAGAGTCTGTAAGAGGTGCCTCCGGTACTCGTCCCGTATGCTGCGTGCGCCATGCTTGCGCGGCCGACACAGACGACGAGAAGAAGAAGCGTGCCGATGGAAACAGGCTGAGTAGTCTGGTTGTAGCACTAATCTGCGATTCAAAGGATGCAAGCGCGAGGTTGAAATCTACCCTCCAGGCGTTATGGAGAACATGTGTAACTGAATTTTGAATCTGCCATTGTCAATCAGCAGAGGCCGCGTCTGACAATAAACGACGTACGGCCTTGAGTATAACGACATCCAGTCCCAGATTTTCGTGATTCAGATCTCCAGCAAGTAGACTAAGGCGCGGGTCATCGGTGATATCCTTCGGCAGACATGCAACATCAAGGGCATTAAGTTGACGCTCGCGAACATCCGTTCCTCTATTGATAGCGTAAATATGTTTGATTGATCTATTTCGGAGCAAATCGACGATGATGTGGGTCCCCAGAATGCCTGTAGTGCCGGTGATTAGGATCACTACCTCGCCGCTGGGCGGGTGCGGAGTCACTGGTCCCTGGGGAAGCATGGCGGTATACTTCTTGATCAGCGCTTCGATGTCGGTCACCGGCGCACCCGACTCGGGTATACCGGTCTTGCCGGATTGGACAAGCTCCACAACGGCTTTAGCAAGATCGCGTAGTGTCGGGTAAACGAAGATGAAGTTTGGGGATACCAGTTGCGCAATGGCGGGACTGGTAGACGAACGAAGCGCTCCGATGATCCTGTTACGCAAGAACGTCGCATTCAAGCTGTCTCAGCAGCCGATCATGAGTTCACGTTCAAGAGCATGCACCGTCTGTTGCGCTTACCTGTCGAATCCCTGTTCAAACAAGTCGCCTGTTGGAGAAACGACATTGCCTGTCATGATTGAAGACACGTGTTCGCTCAGCCAGGTTTCTACGTCGCTTGTAGTCCACGAAGTCGGAGGCACAATGGCGTGCGCTTGCATGCTATTCTCCACTGTTTTGTACCTCATGAACGCGCCATGCATGAGCCAAAGGAGGTGAGTGGAACTACAGCAAAGACGTACAACGCTTCAATGTCGTGCTCGTACAGGGTAATTGCCTGCTTTCGAAGAATGGTGCCCTTAGCGGCTCGAGGAAATGGCCGCCTTGGATCAGATACAATGATCATCTCCTTGAAGACGCGCCCAAAGGCAGGTGCAGTGCGATTCGCCTCGTCAACTTGGGGCCTGAAGAGGATAGTCAGCTGCGTTGCGCTCGGCTACATAAATGACATCAGTCATACCATAGGGCGTTACGAAGCTTCACAAGGGCAGCTTCGTCGTCGGGCATGAAAACATGTTGTTCATGCAGCTCCACGATGACGCCAGGTTGTTCCCGTCCTCGCCCGAACATCAGAGCACCTTTGACCCATGGATGAGCAGCAATGTGCCCTTCCTGCTGTAATGGAACAATCTTCTCGCCTACCCGTCAACGCAGACGATGAATGATAGCAGACATGAGCCAGAAACTGTTCCTTACCGTTGCTGAGCACGATAACATCATCCACGCGACCCACACTACACAACGAAGAGTCAAGGATGTACGAGCCAGTATATTGATTGCACTTACATGCGCCATAGACCGCTCTTCGTGGGATGGGGGCCCCAAAGATCAGACGTTGCGTATCCCTTCTCGCCGTTTGGCAAGTTCTCCTTGCTCGGTTGGTTGGTGGGGCATGTCTAATGTCATGCATCGCTCAGATGGGCCGAGCTTTGATCGAGGGTAATCACTCACTAAGAGCACGCATTCGTATGACCCATCTCCCTGTGGCTCCCACCGTACCTTGACTCGGTCGGTGAACTGCATCCACTGCCAATCCTCACGAGTTTTGCCGGCAGGATTGTTCTTCGCTCCGGGCTCTAGGTCGAAACACGCGGAAGGGACGCCGAACTCCGTCCCACCGTAGATGCAAATAAGGTCGACCCCTGCGTTTGTGAGCTTCGTACCGTTCTTCTCCGAGAGCGGACCTCCAGCGTAGGCCTTGCAAAGATACATATCGTCAGCGACCATCCTCAAACACGGTACATAGGACTCACAACGCCCTTCGTCGACGCGAGGAAGTCTACAAACTCATCGTTGTGTGCCCAAGCCTGCCAGGAGTTAGCTCGTGCGCGACGGTCTTCATGATATCCTGCACACCTCTATGAATGCAGGCACGCAAGGCACGACGTCGCACTTTGTTCTCCGCGCTGCATCAATGACGTTGTCTGGCGTAGGGACAGTAGGGGGCATTCCTAAATGAGCGCGTGGGTGGTAAAGCGCAACCGGCTGACTGCCAACCAACGTCTGATATAACTGCATCATCATTCCCATGGTATGGAACGGAGGAAGGGCAACCGAGGCCCAGCGGTAGCCGCGATCCCGGCTCTCAACCAAGGGCGCAGCACGACACCAATGCAGAATAGTCGTGACAGTCTGAGGAATCGGCTTCGGGAAACCAGTGGAGCCAGACGAGTGCAGATAGAGGACGATGTCAGACGGACCCGACGGCTGAGAAGGCGGATACTCCGGCGGTGATGAAATTGGCAGGGGCGCCGCTGAGGGAGGTATGAATTGCGGGAATACGTCTGACAGGGCCGGAAGGTCATCGACCTCGAGCGCGTAGTCAGCGGGAAGAGCTGCTCGTACGCTCTTGATGAGCGACGCGAATGACGCTTGTGAGATAATCGTATGGCAGTCCGTGCCTACAAGCATGCTGGCCACTCCAGACGCGGAATTCCGCGGAGACAGGGGGAATGGGACAAGCCCCGCGCGGACAATACCCACAGTGAGCGCATGGTAGAGTAAGGTGTCGCAGTTAACAAAGACAGCGACCACGGCGCGGTCGGGACCGGCGCGTCCTGGGCGGATCGCATGCGCTATGCGATGTGTAGCATCGGCGAACTCTCGCCAGGCGACGGTGGCATAATCATAGGAAGCAGGGTCCAGATTGGGCAGAACCCACGCGGGCAGAGATGGGTTATGTTTCGCATGGAAGTCTAGAAATCCGGGAAGTGCTGGGATGCTTCCATCTAGAGGCGGGTTCACTTGAGCTTGAAGTACAGACATGATGCGGGTAGCGAACGGTCAGCAATGCGCCTGTGACGTTGGATGCTGTTAGCACTATATAGGCAGACTTCGGGCTGATTCAAGTGCGCGTCTGATCATCGCATTTGCAGGCTTCCTAATCTCCGATGTGCAGATGATCGCACAGCTCGGCTCTACTCACCGAGGGTGAGTGGGCGGCGGGCGTCCTGCATGACATGTGGCAGCTGAATTGTAATAGTGAGCTCTGATGAGAAGTATATCGGATACCATCGACGTCCACGTTTAGTCCGTGCTTGGGTCGGAAAGCCCTGGGATGAGCTTAGCAGGACGAACAACCGCTTCAAGGATTACTCTGCGCAGCTGGGAATCATTGCGCCAAGACGCACTCTGTTAACAACTTCTTGCCTGCACCACGGTCGTCTATTACCGTGAGGTAAATGACGCTCGGCATCTTGCTATCTGATTTGCGTGATAGAACAGTCAATCAGAGCGTATAAATGCGGACTTCCCCACAGAGTCCTGCAGGCAAGAGTCGGAGGGTTTGCTTGTGTCTTGTGCTAGTTCTGATCGCAATGACGGTGAACGATCTAGCAAAGGCAAAAATCGGTAGCTGAAGAGTTTTGAAGATTACCTGTTTTGGAAACTCTACTTTCCGTTTCACATCACGGATTTCGATATTGCCTCATATAGATCGTAACTTGTTGTGTTCGCTTCATTTCAAATGGCTCGACAACTGGGTGAGTGTCCAGAATTCCTTTGAACACAAACTGTTGACGAGGAACCTCCTGACTATCGATCGCCCAGAGCATAAAGAAGGGAACCGAGCAGGTTGACTGTTGTGTAACGATGTGGTGGCTTCGAAATCACAGGCTGCTCGGCCACTCGGGGTGCTGGCCGACCATTCTCTCAAGACCTATCACGTTGGGCGTCCATCGTGACGCATAGGAAGGAGCGTCGAGCCGCATCCGGACCGCATACGCCATAGACCGTCAGTGGGTTAACGTTCAGCGTTCAACGTTCAACATTCAAACGTTCAACATTCAAACGTTCAACGCCTACTTGGTTGGTGATAGTGTTGTTGACGAACCTGCGCCGAAGCGTAGCGCCTGCCGTGGTTCTTGGCGCGCGGCATCGTGGCGCAGCGATGACACCACAACTCGGGAAAGGTCGGGCCTAGTTCGGATTCGGAGTAGAACTTCCTCAATCAGAACTTCTCACGCACCTGCCATTCTGTTGTCTCCCCTGCGCCTGAGCTGTTGAGTACTAGAAGAAGCACGCAGGTAGGCGTAACCTGAATGTTCTGGTCAACGAGAACTATACCAAAGGAGAGAAGGATCGCAACACGAAACATTGACACATGCAATGTGATTACTGTAATCTGTGATTGGACACTGGGATTTTCGCTGTATCTAGCATCTCTCATAACCAACTCTATGCAATAGTTGCACTGTAGAAGGTTTGTTTTCCATCCCCGAGCGAAAAACACTATCTGCCAGTTGCGCCGCCCTCGCCACCAATCGCCATGAGTCTCCGCCGCGCCGGCGCTTGGCGAACGCCCACACAGCAGTTAGTGGTCGTCTAGACTCTTGGCGCTTATACTCGAGACGTCTATGTAGGTTTTATCACGTCACTCCTTGTTTCGCACCTTCTTCCACCACACTGCAATCCGAGTACATCAGAGCAGAGCGACGTGAGCGTGATGAAATCATTGATTGTAACAATGAACATCGTCTTCTGCACGTATCACTCATTCTTCATTCGCTGCCGCCATTCAGCGGTCGACAGCACCACGTGTTCCAGCGTGTGGCACATGAGATAGACCCGACTCTATCTCGTGCGTGGAGATGCTACACCCATCACTGCGATCAAAGTTATCTACTACATAAGCGACGAAGCCTGTCCGGCTTCTCCTTGTTGATCGCATAATTTGCATGGCGCCATATGCACACGAGCGAACGAAGTAACATCGTCTCCTGAAACAGTTGAAGTCACACAAGCCGCTCTTTGCACGGAGCAACATATATGATCAGCAACGGCGCCTACGCGCTTCTTTGCTCGGGTCCCAGACTTGACGGGGATGATTCCACGTCTTGAGTTCATAGCCGATGGAGCTCTTGATGCGGCACGGCCGCAGCCTACAGCTAGAGACGCACTAATCTGCTTGCGGTACCGCCTCGCTCTGGCGACTTCTTTTTGAAGGCGAAGGCCTGCCATCTGCTTTGTGTGCTGCTCTATCTCGTCTCTCTCGTTTCTTCCTCGCAGCGATAGCACGATGACAGCCGTGGAGAGGATCGAGGGGGCGTTCATTATGGAACTTGCGATAACTGTGATGTGAGTGCGACACAATTTACGGATATACGTCACATTCGGTCTCCTGAGACTCATGCCCGAGCCTCACTTCGCCAGGTTGTACGGCATCACAACAACGCAGGCCCATTTCTATTGGTGGTCCTATCCTCAAGATGCTAAGTTGATCAAGCGGATTGTGCTCATCGTATGGTGAGTGGACATGTCCAGACGTTCAGGTGTAATTTTCAATGTTGGCTGGTCAGGATTCTAGAGACTGTGCATACTGTATTCTGCCTGCATTTGATGTACAACTACACCATTGTTGACTTTGGAAGCCTTGAGCATGTAGTGAATCTTGTATGGTGAGTTCCATGGACTTATCCGCGTGCTGTGGACCTGTTGCTCAACGCTCCACAGGAGTGTCGGGGTAAGACTCATTGCAAACGACGCTGTCCATTAGCTCATGATTGATTTGGACTCAAGGCTACCGTGCTCACGGCGGTGGGTGTTGCTGCCTTATAGACAATACATATGAAGTAACGTGCCTGATAGGTCATCATTGCAGCGATCATACAAAGGTGCGTCCTCACGGTCTTGCCTCATCGCATATCTCACTACGCCATCAGCTTCTTCATACACCGAATTTGGATCCGTATGTCCCTCCAAGTTTGAGTGGTACACCGGTGTATTTTGCTGACCGGGTGAGTCAGTGAGCGATAGGAATGTCGTGATCACGGTCATTCCTGTGAGTTGGAGACTTATTTGCACCGATCCGTCTGTTATGAACTGAAGTTGCCTTTGTAGGCCATCTTGCTTTTCGTCCGAGTAGGTGAGTGCAACAGTTGCTGTGGGCGCTAAGCACAAGTCTGATTGCTGCGACAGCATTCGGCTGTGGTATGCCGTTGTATCGATGCTTTCGGGGCTTGACTGACCCAGTCTTCTAACATCTCAGCAACTGCGAGCTTGACGTAAGCCACGTCCATGATATCATTCTAAACTATCAGTGCTCAAACTCGTTGAAGGTGGAAAATTACTTATTACCCAGAATTTCACAGCTCATTGGGTCCTCGGGTGAGCACTCATGGCGTCTCCATCGTACGTTGTAACTTGGCGAACAGCTGACCTGCGCGACGCCTTGATATGCTGCGGGTAGATCACGATTACCTTCGGACTAGTCCTATCTGCCGTGGTCGACCTCGTCATCGCTGCCCTACTCATATACTACTTGCAATCTAATCAGTCACTCTCTCAAAGGTGTGTCTGCAACGTGACTAACCTGCCTTCAAGGAATTCATGAATGGCTCGTACACAGAACACATCACATCATCAGTTCACTTCAAGCCTATGTAATCAACACCGGGGCTTTGACCATGTGAGCACGAATCGGTGCATCTCAAAGAGTATCTAGCAGCTGATGTTTCTACAGGATTGTGTCGATCGCCATCGTGCTCACGGTCAGTGGTCATTTAGCAATCGCGTTACGTCGTCTTATGATTGTGCAGTTCGCACTGATCAATGGTAGCTTCCTCTTCCTCGGGCTGGTAGAGATCCAGAGCAAGCGTGAGTTCTGGCCTCATAAGAGTCTTGATTAACTGCTAACGACATCATCAGTATACGCGAACTCATTTCTTGCGACGTGGGTCCACCATGTGACGTCGAGCTGATCTGACGAATCTGACTACTATGAACGAGCAGCCTCAACGCTCGTCAGCACCTGAACCAAGCCTCGGCAGATCCGGCACGTGAGGCCATCTCGATGAGCACCAGCATGTATCCGAGGAGTCAGAACTTCACAGGACAAACGGTGGGTGAACGCAGCACGCTTGTGTACCAGGCTGATTGAATGTACTGTCCTTCACTAGCACTCCATTGAGGTTTATAGAACAGTCGAAAGAGACAGCACATTCTACGGTAGCGAGTTGCCGTCACCCGAGATTGCTGGTACGTACATCGGAAGTCTCGAAGGAGGCAAGACCGATCTGTACAAGGCACCACCTCTGAGCGAGTATGGAGAGGCCTTGTAGTGATGAACGACTCTCCTTCATTCGTATGTTGATTATATGTACAGTCTGTATTCAAGTGGCCAAGGGTATATATACCTACGCGTTGTTGTAATTCTGACGATAGGCGGACTGGATACATGCTATTCGCTGGCTTTGTGATTCTTGAGTTTCAAGTGGTCAGGTACGAGACCGAACAGGAAAACGTCAACGTATTAACGGTGCATACAACTAAATCAGGAACGCATCTCCCGCTACTACAAAGCAGTCAAGCCACTTGATACCTACGGCTACATGATAACAAGCGCGGTGAACATATGAAGAGTGGTTAAATTGCAAGGACCTTAGTCTCGGCCACTTCCGATTGACTATGGGTCCACTCTTCATCATCTGTTTTGACATGTCCTGCGGGAGCATCGACTATCTCGTGAGTCTCGACATTGACAACCACCTGTGGCGCAGGAGTGATCAGAATAGCTGCTACCAAGGAGCAGTTGTGTCAGCCACCTGCGAAGGGCGTGCAATCTTCGGCAAGTCCGGCCTCGCAGCGACGAAGTTATTGCTATTGATATTCTGTCGCGGCTGTTCCTAGTGGTCAATGCTTGCTCTGAAGCCTGCTCCCTATTGACCATGGACGCACCTGCACAGAGGACATCCTGATCGCCCTCGCATTATCCACGGACGAGAACGAGATTGCCCGCGAATTGAGGGTAGTCATGGCTGAGTTCCCGTAACTGCGCTCATGCATCAACATTAGAGCCGTATTCATCCAATGAAATGCTCTTACAGCTTGATAAGCGCATAATTGAAAGCTGAGGATGAATATTGAATATGACTCGATCGACGACAAAAAGCAATGAGGATGACAGACCCAAATGCAGTCCGCCGGCCTTTGTGTACAGTGGTATGAACATAATAAAGGAGAATATGTGAAGCACAGCGCACCGTTGCGAGAAACGCAATCATGTCGGCAAAGGCGAATGCCGCAATCAACAAGCCGTTAGACATTGTGACTAACAGAACCTTGATCAGTACCATGACAATCTTCCATTGAAGGCGTACATACTGTGAATCACTCTTGAGATCACAGTATCAGTCTGTGCATAGCCAGTAATGCTTCGCCTCTGCTCGAAGTGCCTAAAGTCAATGCGCCGCTACAGCCTCTCGCGCAACGCAAGACAGCACGTACCAAGCGCCAAGTAAGGGCAAAGGCGATGGCAACATCGGCCACGGTGGACGATACCAACCAGACTATGACTATCGCCTGAACAGTCGAGTGTTACATGAATAGAGAATATCCTCCATCGTGGACCGTACCTTGTAATGAACGAAGTTGGTTATAATTGGTTTGATACCAATATTGATGGAGGTTCCAATCGCTGCTACTGCATGATTCGGAAGATATCAGCGCATATTTATAGGTGTCTTCGTAAATGGGAACCCCTACGACAGCTGCATATTGAAAGGCCAGCAACACAACCACTGATCCATTTACTTGCACCAAGTTTGTGAAGCCGCCAGGCGTAGAAGACCTGAACTTGCATAGCGATGATACCCTAGGATGACTTGAGTGCCCTACAGACACCCACTACTGCGCGTGCAAACTCACAGCCATCGCTTCCTCTACACTCGCAAGAACATGATTCAATAGGCAATGTTAAGAGCTGGGACGACACCTTACCTGTCTCGAAGACTGAAATGGTGGTAGCCTAAATATTGGTAACAATGCGCCAAATATATAAGGAATACTCACGCCAGTTGGCTATTGTGACTGCGTCCACACTTCCTTCATAATGAAGCACAATGAGATCAGCTCGCGTGAGAATCCAGGCTTCTTGGCGTACCGAAGTTATTGATGAATACGTGATATGCCCACCACATATTAAAGATTGAATTTAATGTGTCCGCTAGAAACAAGACGCCAACCTCGAGAATGCCCCGTTTTAGTATCTGAGTGTTCAAATGGGTTTGTCAATTAAGGCTCACATAGATCTTTATCCACATTTGGTCTCTGGGGTAAAGGTCGTCGAGGCACTCTGTAATTCGTCACATGAAATTGCGACGAACCGTGAGTAGGTCGAGTAGTAAAAGAACGTTTGAGTGACCATGACACCGTACAGCCTTCAGGCCACTATTGCATTGGTATTTACATTATCATGTAATGAGGAGATGACGTACATCATATTCATGAAAATGCCAGCTAGCGGCGGACCAACCCTATTGTGACACTCTTAGCGTACAGACAGTGATCAGAGCGTGCTGTGTTTACGTGTACTTGGTAAGACTGATCAGTTCCGCTTCAGACGCCATAGTAGAAGCTGAAAAGGGATAGACGACCAGCAATTTGGGGTTGGAAGGAGACACGCAGAAATGCGTCCCCCCGCGTTATATGGCACCATCCCGAGATCGGACATATCGCCAGAAGGCCGTTGATCCTCTCTAAGCAAATCTCGGCGAGGCCTGTGGCCGTTGTCAATGACGCTCACAGGAAGGGGACGAGACGTCAAAATATGGCATTGCCGCTGACGCCCGGTAGACCAGTGTATCATGTTACTGACGTTCTTGCCGATTGATAGAAAACGATCATTCCCGACCACTGCTGCATACATTTGGCCGCTCAAACGCGAGTGCCATCCATGAACCGATTATTCAAGATCGGTTTCGTGTTTCAGCGTCCTGAAAGACCATGAAGAGTCAGTATACACACTCAAAGCGATCGCGGAAGGCATGGCTGTGTACACGCAAGCGTCTTATTTAGACTAGAGGTATCATTTTCGGCTGATTTGGGCTGTACACTCCTACACTTACTGCTGATGGGTTCGGCTAGTGCGGAGAGTAATCCGCTAACCAGTGTTAGATTGCCCTGATCGATCGACCATCTAATCATCTGTGCTGTAATTAACTAGGGCAACTATACCGCAAACTTCCATATAGCACGGATAAACGTACATTGACATCATGCATGGGCATATACCATGTATCAGGCAAATAGCCAAGGAAGGACAGCATGCAAGTAGATGCTTTTAAAGCATCTACTAGGCTTTGATCTCGTGCCCGAATACTTCGGCGACTTGCCCGACGAAATCCTGCATGGTTAGTTTGCTCAGAGACCACGCTAATCCGGACGCCGGCGCAGACGCTTCATAATGCCTTCCGGGTCGTAAGCGTCACTAGTTGACGCTCAATGGTCAGGCGGGCACGACTTACGCGCCAAAGGCGGTTCCATCCTCCACTGAGACAGACTTGTATGGGTGATGGGCAGTATACATGCGCCACCTGTCGATCTCTCAAACACTTTACGGCGGTGTCTATGACACTAGCGAAAATAGCGTTGAATGCCACGTCGCTGCTAGCACTTATGAATGATTGCTGTGTAAGTACCGAAGAACATGACGAAAGCCAAGAGCTTAATACCTTGGAGGCTGCCTGAGGAGCCTCAGGATCGCTGAACCGAGTTGATCTAATTCGCACATCGAGGTAAGTATGGGGTGTTCGACTAGCCTAAGCGGCAAAGGTGGATTATGCGTCAGATGTTAGTGCCGTTTTAGTGCCCGTTGAGTCGACGACACGTAGGATGCACTTGGACCGGACATTGAGAAAAGCCGCAGTGCCTACTGCATGTAAGGACTGTTCTTTTTCAAGTTGTCCGAAAGATCAAATCAAGGTTGAATTGAAGGGGAACAGCACCCTATTTGATCTTACCGATGTCAAAATCGAATGAAACCCGAAGATAGATTGAAAGAAACGATAAATTATTGATTCCATAATCATATTATTTCGATCTTTATTTAGACTGTATTCCATATTTGGCACTTAAATAAAGCAAGCGGACCTTTCAATATTACTGCAACCCAATCTTTCGTACCACAATCGCTGCAATGTCACATAAATCCGCCTCCCGTCTCCTCCTTGTGCGACCCCCACAGCAACCGTTTCACCCATCCTTCAGTCCTCCTACGTTCACCATCACTTGGGTTCTTAGTCTGCCTCTGCGCAGGAGTACGCTTTCCAGAGATCATGATTCCGTCGAGGATCATGATGCCAACGAACTGTGCCTATGCCAAGCTACTGCAGGTTACATCACATGCTCGACTGGCTCAACATCGCAAGTCGTGCTGGGTGGAGAAGATGTAAAGTTTGTCTACGGGATTTTCCTCTATCCCTGCCACACATGACCCCCACCGCACAAATTCGAGCTGCCGGACGTGGGCCCTGGGGAGGTCACTGTCCAGTTGGCACGCCTCCTGGATGTCGATGGATTTTCAGGATGGTATTATGAGGATGACAGCAAGTGGGACCCCTGGGTTGGCCCTTCTGTGCCGTTTGTAGACAGACAGACAGGGTCTTGCTGAAGATGACCACGACGTGCAGACGGGAAGCGAAAGGAGCAGGGGTCAGGAGGAGACTTCTATCGACTACGTCCAGCCCAATGATCATGCCATGCGTGTGCATGGTACGGACCCCAAGGCTTTTGCTACGGATTTCGGTGAGTGCATACGACTCCTCTCCATTAAAGATCCGCGCCATAACCGCAATCTCGTTCTCGCAATCACTTTGAGCCATATTCCGATCTGTCATGTATATATCGCATGAAGACGAATCAGGAATGGCCCCTACTTCATATCCGTGCTGTGACATCCAATAACTTCGAGTTCCAGTGCTTGAGAAGCCCATGATGACACAAACGGTTCACAGGCGATTCAGGATATCTAACATATATACTCTCAACGATCGTTACGTGTAAAAATCTCACGTTCCATCGGCGCTTCATCGGATAGGGATTTGTGGCACAGCGACTCCTGCAAACGAATGGGCATAATTTGGCTTCAGAGAATATGGCACCCCCGCGACTATGAATGTTGCGCAATCGCGAATGACTTTACAAATGCAGCCTCAATTGTGGATATCTTCATCGTGAAAGCTGGACTGTGCGCAATGTCATGGCTTCCACTCCCGTTAGCGTTCTCTCGTACCTGGCGCCCACGAGCAACACTCCGAAGCTGTCGGATTGTGCGCCCACTGTTCCTCATCTATAATAGTTCGGAGGCGCATCCAGCATGGCTTTCCTCCGCGAAATGCTCGAATATCTGGCCCCTACCACTAGAAGAGTACGCTCGTGCTTTGGTGTCCCACTACTTGGGGTCTGGGCATAACAATCCTCCTGGCTGTGAAGTATCCTCAGTGGGATATGTCTATAACATGTTCGCTGATAAAGCCCACTGTGCCAGGTCAAAGATACCGAAGCTCCTTGTACTTCCTTGCTACGCCGAGCTCACCTCTACACGCAAGTTCAGCGAATTCTGCAGGGGCTGCGTATCGTCCGTGCGTACTATACGTCCTCGCCTCAGCCTTATAAAATAGGCTGTTGGTTAGGCGGCCGTTACCAGCCAACAGACTCAGATGCCGAGGAACAGAATCCAGACTCCGATGCGATTCAGTAAGTGGACTCTCTGTCTGCCCGAGCGTTCTGACACAGTTGCCGGTCGGCGTTTTCAGTTCTGCTAATCGTCTTATCGCAATGTCAACTGCCACCTCAGACTAGAATCTGGCGATAGAAGCGGCAAGTGTGGCTTCTCAATCGACGTGACCAAGGTGCATACAGATTGCTGCCGTTATCAGCAGTCTTACGGGTATAAAATGGCTGCTCGCTACTAATACAGGTGAATAGAGTAGACTACCCTCTGCGACCTCCAGTCATGTCTGAGTTAGTTCAGGATGAGAAGCGCTCCCTTTCCTTGACCTTGCCTTTCGAAACAAGTCCGACTCAGTCTGATGTCGATCCACAAAAGGTGCTACGAAAGTTAGACTGGCATCTCTTGCCATTTCTGTCTCTTTTGTATCTCCTCGCGTATCTGTAAGCAGATGATATGTAACAGCATGGGGTAACTGATATCAACGCTTATTACGGACACTTCTTCCAGTGACAGGACGAATGTCGGTAAGCTCCTTTCGGAACCTCTGTCACCTCGTTTTCACGATACTGCCTAGGAAATGCCAAAATCGCAGGCCTGACTACCGATATAGGACTAACAGGCCTACAATTCAACCTGTGCTCAGCCATGTTTTTTGTACGGTCCATGATGCCTTGTGCGCAGCTTACTACTGAATGTACAAACATAAGGTGACCTATTGTGCATTTGAAGTTCCTTCGTAAGTGAGGTTGATTTTCTCATTTGGAGCTCATTGACAGTCTTTTGGGTACAGCAATGTGGCGTTGAAATTGCTAAGGCCTTCCCGCTGGAGTACGCTAATGATTCACCGCTTCATGTTCCATATGAAAGCTCACTTTAAAAATGACGTTTAGTTCCGACTATTATGTTCTGCTGGGGTATCATCATGGTATCAATGGCCTTTGTCAAAGACTTTGTAGGACTGTTGATGTGCGTTGACCTCTTCCGGCCGAGTTCTGAAGGTGCACTGATGGCGTTGATCAGAGTGCGATTGTTTCTTGGAGCAGCCGAGGTTCGGCTCGAGTTTGGAGTGAATGTCACGATGATGATGACCTCGTGCTACCGCAGTCCGGACTCCTGCCCGGTTTGGCCTTCTATATATGTCTCTGGTATCCCAGAGCTGCTCAGGCGCAACGACTAGCCATATTCGTATCGGCATGCACGGCATCAGGTGAGCATCGCTCTAATATCGCGTTCGCCTTCATTGCAGTACCAATGATATAGGCGCATTTGGAGGACTTCTGGCATATGGAATAGAAAGAATGTCTGGGTGCGCAGCTTTCCTAAGCATGGTCGACAATACGTGTTGACGGTCCGGTCATAGGACTGGTGGGTTGGCAGGCTGGTCTTGGATTGTGTGTGATTTATGACCATTTCCTAATGCGTGCTAATTGCATTGAGTCCCGCAGTTCCTGCTAGAAGGATTGAGTGAGTTGTAATGCTACTAGTTTGTTCAGTCTTACTCATCAATACACAGTAACAATTGTGGTCGCAGTTGGCGGATGGTGGTACATGGATGACGTTCGTATTTAATGTCACTTTTGCGACATCAAAGCTTACAGGTCCTCCAACAGTATCCGGAATCAGCATCGTTCCTGAGTGCGCGAGAGAGAGACTGGCTGGTGCAAGCTCTCAAAGAAGATACAGCATCATCGTCAAAGGCAATCAGATACGAATACCTCATGCAAGCCCTAAAGAACCCCTACTCCTATCTCCTCGCCAGTATAGAATTCTTGTGAGATTTCTGCAATCATGGCTCGGTATAACTCTGATGCTTGAATTCCTTCCAAATACCATGGCAGCATCATGATACCCTTGTTCGCATTTGCCCTGTTTCTGCCCACCATTATTGTTGGCCTAGGCTACTCCTCCCTTCACGCACAGCTTCTCACTGTACCCCCAAACATCTGTGGTTGCTTGGCTACGATTCTGTTTGGCATAGGGTCTGACCGACTTGGTGTCAGAGGGCCATTCGTTCTCGCGGGTTCCCTCTTGTCGCTCGTTGGGTACACCATCCTCTTGGCGACAACAGCTCCCACAGTGGGATATATCGGCACAATCATTGCTGCATGCGGCCTTTTCCCGTCTTCTGCCTGCTTGCTCGCATGGACCGGGGGAAACGCTGGAGGTGATATGAAGCGAGGCGCAATGCTGGCAATGCTGACAGGGCTCGGCAATCTGGGAGCGTAAGTAGTGCCCCGTCGTGTTGTTTTGTAGGCAACATTTAACAACTGTGTGCAGAATTGCGTCGTCATTCATCTATCGGCCTCAAGATAGTCCGAGATACCGGCCTGGTCATGCCACGAATATTGCATGCTCCAGTATGATGTACGTCATGCTTGGCATTTGAGTACTCTAATTCCTAATATGACATCGCTTGATCAATAGTGCGATCCTGAGTATTATTGCTATGTTCGTGTTCGCCCGCGCAAATAAACAGAAGCGTACTCGCTGTATTCAGGAAGGCCTCTCCGCGGACAATGCTGAAGACTACCGTGAACTCGGTGACAACTCACCCTTATACAGGTGCGATACAGTATGTTTCAAAGGCTAAGTGTGTATAATTGATACCGCAGTTCGCTAGCTACACTATATGAAGCGATGCCCGAGCTAGTTGGAAATGGATACTCCTTTGATATGCTCACAGATCCTGGTTGGATGGTGCTGAAATGAATCCTCGCAGCGATTCCCCGCGTGATAAGACAAATATACGAGATTCGGGTTTCGGATCCAAGGAGATTGGGACGTGAATAAATCATGTGTGAATGTTAGTAAATATCCTTTCAACTAAAATGAACTAACAGGGCGTCCGAATGAAACGCAATCACATCAATGCAGCGAAGGTAAACTTCACATCCCTTCTATTAACCTTAGTACGTCTAGATGAGCGGACACAGAATGAGCAGATTATAGCAGAGGCAGTAGGGTATCATCTGGATCAGTCACGACAAAGATTGATTGTGTCCAGTCCCTTGTACGTCCCAGAGTCCCAAGATTTCAGCAAAGGTGTCAAAGCTTCGCCTTCACTGTGGCTGAAGTGAGCTTCCCCTGCTTCCACATTTCCCGAGCACGGTCGCGCAAGAAACGGCGCAACAACTTCCCACTGGGGTTGCGCGGGATGACGTCGATCAACTCGACGCCAGCTGTAAGCTGCTTGTAGTGGACCTTGCCGCTCGCCACGTACTAAGTTAAGGAGGTTGAGCGTCAGTGTCTGCAAACTGCAGATAAATCGGCAAGTTCAGCTAACTGACCGTGATGAGTGCCGTCTTAATTCTTTGCGCCTCAGCGGGGTTCGCCTTGATGCGTTGCTGTGCGGCAGCGCTGGGGACCACGAACGCAAGCGGAAGGTCGCCATGGTAGTCGTCGTTGATCCCAACCACGCAGACGTCGGCTACGTCGGGGTGGTCGAGCAGGAAGCCCTCGAGCTCAGCCGGGGCCACTGGCGGACGATACGTCAGTTTCCTACGCGCTCGCATACCATGACCAATGAACGCACCTTGGAAGCCTTTCACCTTCAACAACTCCTGCACAGCCAATCCCGCCAGGACATTGGCTTGCCACGAAGCGAGCATACCGTACTGACCTTGATACGATCGACGACGAACAGCTCACCCTCATCGTTGAAGACAACCTCATCGCCGGTGTGCACCCATCCATCGATGAACGTCTCCCGCGTCCTGTCAAGCTGAGCAATGAGCGTCCGCTACAGGAATACGCCCGCAGTGGCACTCACGCCTTTTCGTTCTTGAAATACCCTGAGGCCATAGATGGACCTGTAACAATGAGGTGTCCAGGCTCGTTCCGTGCGGCAAGGGTTCCATCTGGCCGCAGGACACGCGCGGTCGTTCCCGGGATGAGCACTCCAGAGCTTCCCGGAGTACCAATCTTCTTGTCATGTCGTGGCATGGCGACAATGACGGCTGTCTCCGTCATGCCTGAGAACGAGGATTGAGTGGGAGACGGCAAGACAGAGGACTCCGGAGTACTGACCGAAGCCCTGGGCAATCGAGACACTGGGGAGCACCTCCGAGAGCTTCTCCGTAATCTCTCCGGAGAGCGGCGCTGCACCTGAGACGATCACACGAAGAGAGCTGAGATCGTGCTTCTTGACCTCTGGGTGCTGTAGGTAACGTGTCAAAATCTCGCACGTAAGCGTTTCTGCAATGTATAGAGTCGCTTGCCTTGCACAGAAGAAGCATCATGGGCGGCACAAACCTATCGAAAGGGCATGGATTGCTCAACATGAAGAGCTCATACTCAAGTCACAACGCACGGAGCATAATTGATGCGATATCGCTCAATGCTTTTGAGCATGTTAACGAAGTCGAACTTGGGAACGACTACGATGGACATCTGGCGATGACCGGTCAGAATGTCGCACACTATGAAAGAACTAACGAGAGCACGCACGCCATAGAACAGTCCAAAGTGCAAAATATACACCAGGCCATACACATCTGATATCAAAAACGTTCATACTGACCCATTTTGGAGGGGAATGAGTATCTCGCTTACGGTAGAAGGGAAGCACTGTGAACGACAAATAGTGGGTTAGAGTACGAGACAGCGTTCATGAAACTTACTCACCAGCAATGGATACATCCCCCGGTCGGTAAGTCTTCGCCTCGCAAGGCTTGGGATCTGCGTTTGCGTACGTCGCGATTTGCACAATATTCGCGATGAGCGAGTAGTGTGAGATTGCGACAGCCTAGCATCGTTCGCCGATTATGAGCGCCTAGTACTCGAGAACTATGGACGCCGGGGGCAGGCTGATCTTTGGCAGTCCTGTTGTCCCACTCGAGAAGCACAAGAACGCGAGCTTAGTGCGCGCCTCGCCTGGGGCAAGCTTTCTTTCTGTGAACTTGCATCCTGCCTTCTTACCCTCTGCGATCAGCTGCGGAACGGTCGTGTGTGTTGGTGTCCCGGTTGTAGTACTTGGAAGCGCATCCAGCAGGACGATACGCTCCGACGTGATGCCCGCAGTACGTGCGGCAGCGAGCGCAACAGGGTAGATAGATGGATGCGCAAAGATCAGTTTTGTACTGGTTGTTTTGAGCTGATGCACAAGCTCATCGGCGGTATAGGAAGGGTTGGCGGGGCTGGGTAGGACATCGAGGTGAGAGCAAGCTTTACGAGAATCGAAGGCATGGCTTTACGTGACTGTCGCACCCAATCTGTGCAGTGCCCTATAGATGAATTATCAGCTATAGTAGAGAGATGAGACGCGCGGACTGTACCAGATCATCACCGGCCAGACTAGATGACAGTGAGTTCTGATAGTACTGCCAGCGTAGTAGAAGACCACTCACAGATGTGATTGGGGCTGAATATGCAGACTCGTAGGCATGACTATGAGCCAGATGGACTCTGTTGACGTCGAGATGACATACCAACGTCATTAACGCCTGTCCAGGTGGGGTCAGATAGACACAAACAGGAACTGACAATTTGTATAGGTACCAATATTGAAGCGAGATCCAAGCCCAGTGGCAAGAGCTTGCGTGTTGGCACGGATCTGTAAGAGATGTCAACATAACGTTGACGATTGTCAACCTATGCGCCAGGACATTCTACAAAGAGGTTCGGGACAGCACAAGACGCAGTCTCCAGGAAGAGTGGCTGCCGAACAGGGCGCACAGTGTAGTTGACGTAGCCCATCGCTGTCATTCTGGACAATTCACTAGCACAGTTCAATGTATAACCCTCGGGGGAAAGTCACGGCCGAGCGATTAATCTTCGATACATCTTCAGACAGAAGCGAATTGAGCCCATAGTCGCTTCCTTGCACAAAATGTCATGAACCCATCCTGTCAAAGTGTACTCATGATAGACGATTTGACTGTCGCTTTCTCGGAACACACGATCATGATCTGCCAGCAACTGGCGCTCATGCGCTCACCACTGATAGTCCGAATAGTGCGGATAACGGGTTGTTTCATATCATAGAGCACTCACCTCGTCGACCCCAATTTTCCTTCCAGTTGCGTCCTCGATCAGCCACGGCGTGCTTTTGTTGGCAGTGGGTCTGCTCGGATGACGGTAGTCAAGCATGAATTGCACCAGCGTCATGTTGTCCGGAATGGGAGGAAGCGGGCCTCCTGCACCGTGAATCTCGGACATTGTTCGGTTCTGAAACGGGAGTAAAGACTGCAAAAGAGAAAGGAGGGTACGTGTAGATATGCAGGCTGCAAGAGGTAGACACTGAACGACTGATGAATAGAGGCGGGGTGCCTAGAGGGTGCCAGCACTACCTATCCGGGAGTGTCGGCATCGTTCCTTCCGGGCCAGGCTGCCTTGTCGCGACCAGGAACATGCTGCTGGATAACCTATTTACACGCCGCCAGAACCGAAGAGCATCAGGGCTGATCAGTTTGATTGCAGATCAAATTGAGTACCCCGCACCGCTAGTTGTGCAACGCCCCGATCGTCCAGCAACGTCTGTCGGACATCGAACATTATCGTGAAGTAAGTGATGAGAAGTAATAGTCGGTTACAGTCACTAGACATCGTGTCTGTGAAGTCTGACAATAGACGCTGCCCAAGAGGTAGATCTCACTTCCCCTTATGGTAAGTGCGACAACATGCTGAGGAGCGAGCAAGCGCTAGTATCTCGTCATTGACCTTTGTTCCATGAAGCCTACGACTTATGACACTCACTCGGCGGCGAGACTCAACACAGAAGTGCTTGACTCACGAGCGGACAACTGTGCCTGCCATGCCAATCACACTGTTCGGCCCTTGAAGCTAAAGCGATTTCTGATCCTCCTAACATGCAGATGGCGATCCACCATCGACATGCAAAGCTGGTCGGTCGGTGTCAAGCTATTTCAAAAATGAAATGACATAAAGCACTACAATGTCTCTAAGCAAGGTGGCGGGGCTGCTCATTGTTATAATAGCTGAAGAAACGCTTCGTCTCAAATCACCTACCTGCGGCTGCCAACTACAACACACCCAACTACCCAATCTCCGCCCCCCTCCGCCCCCCCTCCCCCTATCAGCCTGAAGCATGGTAGCATCTCCCGAGTCGCACATTGCTGACATGCGGACAATGCTAGCGAAGTTGAGCGCAGGCCTCCCGGTGCGCCATCGCCCAGAAGACTCTCTAATCGTCCCCAGACGCGACGGAGACGTGGTTCTAGTCACTGGTACCACGGGTAGCCTGGGTTGCCACCTACTCGAGGCGCTGTCTTTGACGCCCACAGTCCACCGTATCTATGCACTCAATCGCGCATCCAAAGACGGAACGCCACTCTATGTTAGGCAGAAGGCGGCGCTGATCGAGCGCGCGATTGACGCGCGAATCCTGAATCTTCAGAAAGTGGTATTGATAGAAGGCGATCTCAACCACCCTACCTGGGGCCTTACTGAAGGCACTTTTGAGGAGGTGAGTCTGCCCTTGGCTACACGAAACCACTCCCGGATTAATACAATGGGATGCTAGTTGCATGAAAGTGTTACCCATATTGTTCACAACGGTGCCTATTGGTCTAGCGCATTCCTAGTCGCTTTACTTACATGCAGATCTGCCACCTGTAGCGTGGCGCGTCGACCTAGTTGCGGACCTAGACGCCTTCGAACCGGTCTTGCGTGGCCTGCGGCGGCTCATCGACTGGTCGCTTAGTTCGCCTTTACCAATCCCACCTCGTATACTGTTTGTCGGCTCATGTAGTGTTCTACAAAGTATGTTCTCATCTAGATAGTGAGCACCCACGCTGACCTCACTGCGACCTACCAGAGGCACCTCGCGACAAGTCCATTGCGGAGACCGTCGTCGACATATCTGCTGCCACGTACAGCGGCTACTCCATGTCAAAGTGGATTGCCGAACACTTGTTGCTTGCTGCGGCGAACGCTTCCGGACTTGATCCTCTTATTGTCCGTGTCGGACAGCTTTCCGGCGGGCCGGGCGGTGCATGGGCCGCAAACGAATGGTTTCCCCTCATGGTGCAGAGCGCGCCTTACCTCGGTTGCTTCACGGCCGACCCACGGGTGCGGCTCTCATTTCCGGCTCTCATTCATCACGCTTACATCTGCACACTTTTGACATGCAGCCTGTGGACTTCCTCCCTTTCGACGTCGGCGCAGCTGCGCTTGTCGACATGCTCGACGCCTCGAGCCCAACGCACATTGCGCACCTCGTTCACCCGCGTCCCACATCCTGGAACGCAATTGCCGGGCCCATCGCCGCGGCGCTGGGCGTTGAGCTCGTGCCGTTCGCCGAGTGGCACGCACGCCTCGAGGCGGCGCCGAGCGTCCGCGAGCTGCGCGCCCGGCGGCTGCTCCCGTGGTTTCGTGGACAGGCCCTGCGAATGTCGTCGAGCCCAAATGCGATGGGTTGGCCGGGGATGGATACCACATACGCTGTTCGAGCATCGCGCACGCTCGCGGATCCGGCATTAAGGCAGCTGGGGGAGGAGGATGTGCGTAGATGGCTCTTGTACTGGCGTCGGGTCGGCCGTTTGCCATTATGTGGTCAAGAGACGTCGCGGTTATAGACCTGGCTGCCCTCTCTTTCTCTTTTCTTGATCTGCTTTGCAATAATACCATCCAGGAAACCGTATACAATGCAATGCACCGTACGAAGACAGCCTCGGAGCAGGTGCTATTAGGCAATCTAGGATCAATGCTACACCGTCAACGTTCTTGTGCATCTACTATCCGCGAGCAGATCGAACCAACTACCCTGAGGGTGCCCACCAGTCATCACGTTGCATATGCATCCTGTCGTCTGATCCCCCGTTATCCTGACGACATTACTGAGATTCAAGGCAGACTCCGTTGTCAGCACGGCGCATAATGGTACTGGCCAATACAGCATAAGAGTATCAGCTTACAACATAATACTGTCTATGATTGTCGGGCTCAACGTCACCTGTACGACGAGGTCTCCTTGTCATCTCCACATTTCGTATCCCGCCCGGCCGTCGTTTGTTGATATGCTTCTTTTCGTCTTCGTCTGCACGGAGCGATTGGACGTAACACTCCTGCGTGAAGTGGGTATCAAACTAGGTGGCTTCACGGGCGTGATTGTGGGCCGATGTGAATGCGTGATCTTTGATAACCACGACCGCACGCTCGCAGCTTTGGAGGGCACGATCGTCTGCCAGGAGCCTGTCAAAGCATCATCAATCGTACTTCCCTCATCCTAATCTATGTCGCTTACTCGAGCTACCGCTCTTTACACTGCGAGGCGCATAAGAGGTCGTCGTGCCGCTGGAACCGTACGTGCGGCCAGTCTTGTAACGTTTTTCGTCATGAACCGATTGTATTCTGATAATCAGAGATGTAAGCGGGATCAAGTGCGTAGCAGACGTACCCGGTTAGAGAGCGCTTGAGATGTGGGGACATAGGGCCTTGTAACTGGTCTCGCTATGGTTCTCTGCGCTACAGGTGCTCGGCGCGTGCGTTGTCCACCTTGGGGGCCATTGTGGTGCGAGAAAATCAAAAAGTTGTTGATCTGGATGTTGAATTCCAGCTTCACAGGGAACATCATCATAAAAGACGTTGGAGTTAGGGCGCAGCAGTCTCATGCAGAGAGGGGCTGAGGGGAGGGCTCCGTCCAAACGCGATGTTCAACTTGGGGAGGCAGTTGCTCGGGGATATTAACGCGCCTTCTCTCACGCTTATCGGGCCATGCTTTTGAAGAAGCCTTGATAATGAGCAAGTGTCAGCAGACCGGACGCAAATCCCTGCGACATTACTGGAAACAGACTCAGGAGGTTACATCGTCCTGAAGCATCCCGCCTTCATACTGATGAATCGAACCGAGGCGACCTTGCGCGTGTGAAGTAGATCATTGAGCAGCATATTACGCATGCCACCTCAGTCGTCAGGTTCTGGTGGGATTCACGCGATGATCTTATTCTCTCGGAAAGAGGAACAGCTCAAGAGCGACACCGCAGGATCTCTCATGCTGTGGCTTAATGCCTGAGCGTGAGGCCTGGCGGCTTGGTCGAGCTAGAACGTCTAGCGTATGACCCGCGAAATCACTTCGTATACAGCAACGTATTGATGCGATGACATTGAGCGACACATCTGTGTATCAACACGTAAGTAGTTCTAAGAATCCAGTTGTGGTAAAGGGATAACGGACCGACGGACAATCTTAGTGGCTCATCAGCTGCTTCTGTTCCAGATTGACGCATCCTTTACGGGCCTCATGATAGTCAGTAATAAGCCTTGAAGGACGACAGAATGAGGGACTCACCAACCCACGCGGATTAAACAAGGGATTGGGCCACCATAAGTCAGCGGAGCATAACGAAATCAGCGGTATGTTGCGCGATCGAACGAAGACATCAAACCACACTCGATGAAACAATTGATGTATGACTGCTGGTTCATTAATTGATACAAGGAATGGAGCATTATGGTATATGAGTCATATAACTGGAAGCATTACGAGTTCGTGTGTCCATGCGAAAGCCGTGTAAAGATCATGAAGACAAGCCAGCTGTGACTATTCTGGAGGATCTGCGGAAGAAGAATGAAATAATGATAGAACACGCGCAACACACGCCGTTCAACGCCACCTTCAACACCTATCATCACACTACCGGCTATGCGAGCACCGTCTGTGCCAGGCGGATCGCATGGTCCATTCGCTCTCGCGTTGTCTTCATCTGCCAAGACGGATAGGACTGGTATCCCATCGCACCACACATACTGACGAGCCACTGCTCCAGCAGCTGGCACGTCCACTGTACGCCGCGCTGTCGGCGTCCTAGCAGGAGGATATTCGCGATGTCATAAGGATCGTCCTTTTGGTAGCGTACGAGTTTCAGAGCAATGGCCCAGCTCCAGCTAACGCCAACGAGAACAAGCCCGGAAGATGTGTAGATGGTGTTAATGCGCATGTTCTGCTCACTGACCGCATCTGTGTAGATGGGGTCATAAAGGTTTCCGTATGCACTATGGAGATCAAGACGACAGGCCACCGTAAGTAAGCGACAAATATTCCAAGGAATCGGCTCAGCTCACTCTGTGGACATGGGAAGCGCGACGTCTGCACAAGCGTTCATCCAATCTGCGCCTAACCCAAACTTAGACGCGGTTGCAGATATACATGCCTGAAGTCGAGCTCCAGCATCGTAAACCCCAAGACGCTGCCATTCGAGGACAAAGGAGCGGTGATTGTAGTCCACGTCACGCGTGCTGGGCCTGCATCCCAGTCGTGGATGAAGTACCATTATAGCGCCACCGTGAACAACAAGGCGCACTTGGCGTCCGAAGCACTTGAGTAGTCGCCGAGACAAGTCGTGGAGAACAGTTTGCAGCAGTTGGCGGGTGAGCATGACATCATTGTGTGCTTTCACGGCGCGCGTTGATGTCGAGGACGTGGTGCGAGAGTGCAACGACATGCAAGACATGCAGAACAAGGAGAATCAGGGCCAAATAGAGGAAACACCGACGCTGGCGACCGAAGGCGGGGGAGCGGGGAGGACATGAGGTTGAATATATGGGCAGCAGCGAGGTTATATGTGCAGAGGCTGACTTCGTGAGAAATGAAGCCTTTTCGCTTTGACCAGCGCCTGTGGCAGATGCTCCTAGCGACAAGCGCGCCCGCGCCATCAACGTTTGTCCACCGCGCCGTTTCAACGTGCATCACGCATGTCTTGCTATACCACCACAGATGAGCACAGCATCCTGCTATCGTACTTACCAGCAGCGGCATTCAACAACCGTCTTAATTCGATTCGGGACAGCATAGCAAGTATTGAGGCAGGAATTGGGGCTGTTCCATTCCATCTCATAATTGTGTACGCCTGTGGGCGGATGCGATTCCTGCAGTTGGTCATGGGTTCCCACAGCCCAACCTGATTGGCCGTGGCTGAATATAGCATTAATAGAACCACGATATCAGCGAGCTCCTATCGATTCATGAAAGACAGACAATTGTGTTTTTGTTCGCTTTGTAGGCTTCCAGACAAGGAGCATACCAAAGCTAAATCTATCATGCTACTCGTCGCTTTGTCCACACAGTATCCGCAAAGATCATCGCCAACTAAGCCACATATTTGTACATCGTAGCCCAGCCTCCAAATAGAATGTTATTCACAGGTATCTCAGCGCAGCAAGTGCGCAGACCTTCCGATTGCAGTTTTTGGCAGAAGCGACTGCGGTGGCCTCCCGCGCAATTAGCACAGCATTCGACGGATAGGGGCAGGCTCACCGCAGTTGCGATCTCATTCGGCTATGCGGCGGCACATCAGTACAGGGCTTCGACGCCAGAAGAACAGTTCCGCTGCATACGTACCGCAAACCTATACTTATGCCAATGAGCGCAACACTCTGCAGAGTTGCATTCTGCGCTAGCTGTGCGGAACGAGTACACAGATCACCTGTCAGCGGCATCTACTCGCTATGACACAATCAAACATATACAGAGCACGCCAGGTCAAGTCGAAGAGCACATCAAAAAGACAATAGCAAAGCTGTGTCCTCATTACAGCCAGCATCGCCAGATGAAGAAAGTCTGATGTCCTACACAGCTTACAAAATAGCGCCCTTTCTCCTACGGCCAGGAAAGTTTGTTGGCAACAATGACGTACCGCAGCTGTAGCGCACGATTTAATGTGTTCGCCTTGTCGTCGTCCCCACGTGAGGTGGAAGCTCGCGGTCGAGTTACAACTCGATGTCCGTCTTAGGTATAGCTCGCTTGGTGCAGAAGGAAGGCTATAATGGCACTCCTATAAGGCAAGCTGGCCACAAGAAACCTGTCCCAAGACTCTCAATGGTTAGTGTGGGCCGACTCCAGATCGACATTGGCCGGTGTAACAGCTAGCCTTCGACCATTCCTCTTGATGCTGGACCCAGAGAGGTAGAGAAAGAAACACAGTATCCGACGTGAAAGTGGAGTTTGGGCTAGTTTGGGTAGCAGCAGACAAGTTGTCGCATACTCGGATCCCATTTCCGCGGTGGTGGGGTGTGGATATGGTGGGTCTGAGTACGAGACGACGGACAAGAGGGAATTGCTCGGCGTAAATAACTTCCGTAAGCGCTGGCAGTGGCAACGACGCGAGTAATCACGTGAACCACACGATGCGCAAGGGCTACATCGCGATTGAAAATATGTTCAGTCCAGCTGTCTATTGCAGGCATGCGTGCACTTGGATAAATCACAATAGAGATGTGATTTACTTGTCTCCACCGGCTGTATCAGATGGCCCCTCAACAACTTCGACTGGATGCCGCTTCCGCCATTCGTTGAGGCCTTTTTGGAATGTACGCTCATCCAGGCCATTTGGAGCAAGGCAGAATGTTACCCCTGATAGAGCGTCGATAAGTATGATGTAGGAGAAAACAAAGCGCCAGTGTCCACTGACCTAGGGACTCGACCTCGCGATTCCTGCTCTCGTCGTCGAAGAACAGCTGCGCACTCATGGTGAGTTCATCGTGGAATGGGAGTACACGGCCCACTTACCATCTCAGAGTAAGGGAGATCCGTCTTGTCATGTAGCTTCTTGAAGTGAGTGATCTTGGATCCTAACGGCATGAGCAGAAGTCGCAGGTATGAGCAGAGTTCAGACAGGGAGACTACTGAACATAGGCACCAGGGTATATTTCTTGTTGATCGAAGAACTTGATCGCCGGAGTTGGTGAACCGTGCTTGTCTCCTGCTTTAGGCGGGACTAAGAGCAATCCAAGTGCCTGTCGGGCTCTGTAATCGTGCATGAATACCACGCGGGCAATGTTGACATCACCAGAAGGACGTACAGCGATGGTGCTCCCGTACGCGAGCAGGCTGCAACAATAACCCCTGCTGCACGCAAGCGGTGCAAGATCTCTGGCACGTCGTGGTAAAAGGCGATTTCATGGTTGTGTCTGTCGAGTGTCAGTGCGCAAGCGGAGATAAAGGCAGTAGCTCACCTATCCCGGACACAGTTCACGGTATTATTGTCCCGACGGAACGGTGCTGGAATCCACGCGTCTTAGACCATCCGCGATGACCACGATTGAGCGAGGGCGTACGCGTGACATGGGTATCTATCCATAGATCCCACAGAGTGTAGCTGCCCTAGGGTAAACACGATTAGCAGAATTGCATGAGCATTTTCAAAATAGTAAGGATGATGGGTAGAGCGTACTCAAGATCTAATGCAATGAGTTTGGGCAAGCGGCTGGACATGGTGGATCGAGGGCAAGTGAACAAGCGCCGAAGATCTTGTTCCGCTACCGCGACCACGAGGCTCTCAACCTCCCGCCCTCAAACGCGGTACCGCTAGATGGACGCGACGACCTTAGAAACAGACGCGAATATGCCTAGAGAGAGATCTTCAAGTCGTCCTGTCAAGAGAGTCAAACCTGAATCGCGTTCCCGGTCTCGGTCTCCCAGCATTGTCGAGGTTAGCCCGCCGCACAAGAAACCAAGAGTGTCACCCGAGGCAGAAGAGCAAGACACAGATGAGGAGCATTGTAGCATTTGCTTACAACCAATCGCAGACCGGACGGTCGTTCCAACTTGCTCTCATGAGTTCTGCTTCGAGTGTCTCCTTATTTGGACAGGTAAGCTCATCTTTGAGCTGTTACACTCCATTCCGACTACGCGGGCGCACTAGCCACGGCTGCGTCCATGCCGAAAACGCATACTCACACGTGTGTGTCCCAGAACAATCCCGGCGTTGTCCACTATGCTCTCAGGGGATCGGCGACTACCTGATTCATCATATACGCTCTAAGTATGATTACCAAAAGCATTACCTGCCTCCCCTACGTGCGTCTCCCCGCTCTCTAGGCCTCGTACTAGACGCGCAGCGAGACGCAAGGAGGAGGGCCCAGACGAGGCGGGAGCGCGAGTGGGGTAGACGCCGACGGCAGGAGCAAGAGCAGGCGGACGAGCTAGAAAAGGCGATCGAAACACGCCGATGGGTTTATCACCATCACCTATATGCAAAGGTATGTGATCTGAGGGCAAGCAATTGGTGTGTCCTCACCCTTGCGGGACGCTCGGCTGGTGGAGGACATTTTGAATATACAAATGTTTATATGTCATACCCAGCATGTCGCGTCGAATCGTTACACGCGTTACCGTCCGTTTCCCACTCCGGCTCAGTTCTCCGCCTCTCCCGACCTCGTCAGCCGTGCCACTGTTTTTCTGCGGCGCGAATTACGGGTGTGGTCAGGTCTTGATGTCGAGGTAAGCTCATGCCTGTATTTAATACTACTTTTATTCTCCTATCACCCTCGTGGGTTCAAAAACCTGACGTTGAAGGCCTCTCTCGAGTTGGCAATTTACCCTTTTTTCATGCACGCAATATGTCCATGCGAGTATTAGTCGTCATTGCTGTCTAGCCGAGCTCTCGGTCGTTTTGTCTGACTGCGCCGCTCGATGTTACGTCTGCTGCTCTATCCTATATGCACATGATTTAAGGGCTCCAGCTGACTTTCCTCTTCGGTTTTGTGCGGTTGCGTCGGTGACAATGTATCTTAATGCGTCCATATCGTCATACAACGCCATTCACCCTCCCCCAATACCGCTACTATGCAGTTCCTGACCACCTTCACGGTCTCGCTCATGAAGTCGCTCGATATTCGCTCTGAGCCCGCCGTACGGTTGCTTGCCGAGTTCCTCGATATGGATAGCGGGGGTACGCGTGTGAATGCGGAACATTTTGCACATGGTGAGTTTGACGTTTCGCTGCCTTTTTTTCTACTTCCTATCAGCCAGGATGTATCACCGCTCAGCTGCGGTCTGCCCGGTATCTGCAATTTTTACCCGCGGCATGTTAAATGCTATGCCAGGAACGGCCTGATTTGCGAATGTAGTACTTCTAGATTGTACTGAATTCTTCCGCCAACGTGTACGGGAATCTCCTGACCTGTTTCACTCCGCGTTTAGAACTGTATAGTTATCTCCGCTCGCCCTATCGCGACCTGACTGTTTACGACGGTGTCGTGCAGGTGAGTTGTCAAAGGCCAGGTCTTGCTGCGAAAGGCCTACGCCAGTAATCACTGCTATCCTATTGACTCCCGCTGTATAGTATGATGTGCCGGAAAATATTCCGCCGCCATTCATTCCGCAACGGCACAGACGATGGAGGTCCCGGTCCCGGTCGGCCTCGCCTTCGCCTTCACGTTCTCGGTCGCGTTCGCCACGACGTACACCCGTTCACGATGCATCCCCTTTACCTCCGGATGAAAACGGACACTCGCCGTCGCGCTCGCCGTGTTCCCACTCCACACCATCGCCACGAATCCCGCGTTCATCCCGCAAGAAATATCGATCCCCTGTTTCACGGACAGCAAGGGAAAGCTCGCGGAGAAGAGGGGTTTTAAACGGCGATTCCCGTTATTACCTACGTGACGACCAGAGGGTTTCATCTCCACGGCCAGGCGAGAGCGGGCATCATCAAATTGTCGCACACGCCGATCCCATCGAACAGCACGGTCGTGAACGGCGCGATCCCCATCCCCGTCACAGTCCTAATGAGCGACACCACAGAAGCCAGAAGGGTAAATGGCGTGCAGATAGAGACAGACCAAGGGTGAATAGCCACATCGCTGACAACACGACTAGCCCTCGGATTCCTGAGTCGGAACGGGAGAACCGCAGTAGCCACGACCCTAGTCAAGTTGCCCCACGAGTGCCTCCCGTATCCGACGTGGAATTACCTCTGCTTCGTCATCAAGACGCTTCCGTTTCTGTCATGCCTGCTGCTGCTTCAACTCCTGGCAACCCTGCTGGCACTTCTACACCTAACTGCGGAACCCATGCAGCCGGTATCGGTGGTTCACAAGGACCTAACACCGTCGAGAACCCCAATTCCAAGTCGGACCGCGTGGATCCACAGAGAAGGAATGAAGCTATACGTACAAGGCACCGTACCCTTCTCGAGTCAGTGCAAGCACATTTATCCAGAGATGTTTCGGCACATCAGCGGAATCAGTATGGGCGGAATCACACTGTGCCAGGGGTGACACCTTTTCCGGCAGCATGTTTTCAAAGCGACGACAAAGCATCCCGCGACAACGGTCTTGTTCCCGAAGCGGCTGCCATTTCCGAAACACCTACACTACTCGAGCGGCTATCTGAGCGCGATGACACGCATTCTCCACGCACAGCTACCCCGAGAGTCTTTGCTTCACGGCGGCCTGTGAACCATCTTCAGAATACCCCTCAGGGCGACCGCCTTGAGGATCAGTCACCTCAAAAGAATTCGAGCGAGGCGTCTGAACTTCGTCAAGACACGATTGAGGACATAGACGAAGGCAAGGCCCCTGGATCCGCTGAGGATCCTGCGAAAAACCGCACATGTGAGTATGTCAATTGGACTTCACTAGACTCCAGTACTCCTCACAACATCACGGATGTTTTATTTGCACCACATCGTCACTGACGCATTCTTAAATTTGCTGATGTTTTAGATGCATCCCTGGCCTCGACCGTGCTGCGCTCGAAACTGCTTAGCAAACTTGCCAACGAGAAGTGCATGGTCGAGCCACCTGTCAAGTCCGACAATCCCCACCTTGTCGACGGTTGTCTACTGTCAACGTGCGCGGGCTCTGTCGCTGCGGCTCTAGCCGGCGGTGCCGATGTCCAGGAAACCACACCTTTGAAGGTTTCGGGAGTAGAGACCGCCGAGATGGAGGCTAGACTTCGCAGTCAGGCGCTGTTGCGGGTTCGGCTGCGTGAGGAGAGGGAGGTCGCAAAGGCGGAGGCAGGTGGGGGTATGGAATCAAATGACGATGTAGTCGATGCAAGCAGCACGGACGTGAGCGCTGTGGCAAGTCAAGAGGAGTGGCTGAGGGAACAATTACTACGCAGACGGCTTATGCGGCGTACATGACTTCGATTGTGTTAGTGAGCGGAATAGCGTAGTCTACAGTACAGAAACTGTGGATTATAATCTGCTGTGATAATGAAAGGCAAGGGAATGAATATGTGTGACGATACAGTAGCAGGCGGACGCGCATTATTTTGTCGCAAGTACTACGGGTATGGCGTGTGAGATTAGGTATATGTATATGATTCCCGAAATTGATAGATATCATTGGAATTGGAGAGACCGGATATTATGATGAATGAGCGTAGTGTGTGTGGTCAACATAGTTAGGCTTGTAGGATACGTTGTTGAATTCGTGAGAGACATTTGAAGAAACGATCGTGGAACCGATATACAAGGAAGGTGCTTTGGCGTTTGCAACCGACGAAGCGGGATGCTTTCATTCGTGGAAATTGTCGTAGTCGTAGGAGCGCCGTCCGGCTTGCTGTGTGGGAGACTCGCGGGTGCTGTTACCAGAGCTGACAGACTCGGCGCGATGGTGACGTGCCAGAGATGAGGGGTGGGACTCTGCAGACGGTGAAGTTACGGGAGGGGAAATAGGGGGCATTGTGCTGCCGTATCCCGAAGCGGCGCTCGAGATGGAGGGATGACCAATCTGATAAGACGGGCGCGAAAATGGTGAGAATGCCGGGTCATCCCATTGAGGGTGGGGTTGCAAGGTGAACGGAGGCGGGATGGCGAGAGGACGTGGGGACATTCCGCCTGCAGGAGATGGGTGCCAGCGTCGCCAGACTTCAGACATGGAAGAGAACGGTGAGGTGCTGGCTTGGCGACGGTTAGGTTCAGGACCTATGACGAGTGGAGGAAGTGTGACAGGATGGTCAAGTTGCGTGTCTCCGGAATCAACGGAGAGGCGAGGCTGTCGTAGTGTATGTTCTCCAGCTGTGAAAGACGCGCTGGATGACACCTCCGCAGTTGCGGGACGCGGCCGGATGTACGTAGAGGCGCGATTAACCGTAGGGTAGCTGGTAGAAGGTCTCGGGGTTTCGCGCACGACCGCCGCACCCCGCGCATCTCTCGGCAAAGTATAATCTGTGCGAGCACTGCTGCTCGAAGCCGAACCAGGAATCCCGGGTCCCGATAGATATGGAGAAGTCACAGATCTCGGGAGCGCGCGGGACATCTGCGACTCTTGATGGCCGTGGTACGTCCCTTCGTGTCCATATCCGACGACGGGGTTAAGGTGCACTAGATGACTCCCGGAGGACGTGTGACCTTGTGCGGAAGTGCCAGAGAAAGCGGCCATGTCGCTGGATGACGAGCCCAGATGCGCGTTCTGAAAGGGGCCAAATTGAGGAGGTCTCGTAAGAGGAGTCGTAGCCTGTCCACGAGGACGCCTCGCCTTCTGGCGCTGGTTCTAGATAGGGCCTGCGTCAATTACTTCCCTGAAATATACCGAAATTGACTGACCTGAAACCAGATCTGCAAACTTGCGTTGAGCCGTGTGGTATTCATCTATGTGATTATGACGCACGTACCTGTACTTTACGGGCACTGAGTCCTATAGCGCGCCCGACTTCCTCACGCATAGCTGTAGTGGGGAAGCGGGACTGGGATTGACACACTGTTAGTCTACAGTTCCAGCTGACTATGTGGTGGGACAATACCTGAGCCAAAAGGGCGTGCAGAACAGCAGACTGATGAGGCGTAGTCAGAGTTCTCGTGCGCTTCTTCTTGGGTGGAGAAGCAGTCGGCTGAGGCGCATCAGAAGACTGGCTTGGGCCGGCTTCCATCTCGGTGTCTGCCATATCGCCCTGAGACGATGAGAGTGAGGGACTCGACCTTTCTGCCCCATGCCTGCTGCTTCCTCGCTCAGCCGTCTCTGTGTAGTCCCGTAGGTCTGTACCCGGTCCTTGGGATCGAGGTCGAGGTTCGATGTCTGTGGACGCGGGTGAGGGTGAAGCTCCCTGGGTGTCGTAGGGGGTCGTATGCGAAAGGAATGAACGTCTTATGGTGGAAGGAGAACGCCTTGGACTCCTTTGCTGATCAGAGGAGTTTCGGGAAGGAGAGTCTCCGCTTGGGGTGGAATTCATAGTCGAGAATTATCATGCAATAGAGTAAATGTCGAATTAGACCAGGGTGGATATAAGTCGTCGAAGGGGTTAGACCTCCGGAGCAAAGATAATACAAGCAAGACCAGGGAGCTTCAGGACCATCGAGTCTTCGAGGGGAAGGGACTTCGCGAGGAATTGCGGCGGCGGGTTTTAATATCAGAAAGGGGTAATCGGGACCCGATGCGCGGACCTGCTTTAGCAGGCGCTTCGACGAAACGGCAATCGAAATCAATTTCTTGATCATGGATGCGATAGAAATGTCCGCCAAAACATTGACCAAACCTTCGACCTCGTTGTCCGAGCGGCTATCCATCGAACCGACAGGTACCAACGTTACACTGTACGGACGTCGACGTGTTCGCTTGAGTTCCCGCTGAGACCGTCCTCAGAGTCTGTAACTATGTTGAAACATGAACGCTGGCTCGGAGGTGGCCGATCTCGTGCGACTCTTGCAGGGCGCTGTCAGCCTGGTCGCGATGCGACGCAGCGTTGCAACCGCCTCTGACGTCTCTGATCCCTTGCAATTTGAACACGTACTGAGGCTGCTGAAGGAGATCAGAGCTAGTCTACAGTCCCTCTCATGCCCAAAACTATCGTCATATGATTGGCCACTTCACGAACCCAGGGTTGTTCTTGGGAAGATGGATGCAGTAGCCACGTGTAGTTTGAGACCGGGATGGGAAGCCGATAATCCAGATCAGCGCTACTCCGATTGCAGATCGCCTGGCGTAGTAGTTGCAATAATGGTTGTCCTGGCATCGGACCTCCTCATGAACCGGAGCGTCGCAACTTACGACATGACCGTGTGCCTGCTACGGGGGCGTTTGCAACGCAATGTATCTCCAAGAGCAACCTCGGGCCGCGTTGCTTAGCACCAGTCTCCGAGAGGCCCAGTATCGATCACTATGTGATAACAAGGGTTTCGTACTATGTCTTAACTAGTACTGTTGCCGGCGGAATCGAGTATTCGCGCTGAGCGCTAATGCAAAATGACGTGCCATTGGTTAATTTGCCGTGGAAGTGCAGGAGCGTATCGTGGCCATCCAAAGTTGAAACCGATCACTAGTGAGAAAACAATAGACAGCTCTGCCAGTAGGAACATCGCGAAGGAACCAATTCCGTCGCGGCTGCAATAGACATCGCCTCGCGCGAATGCCGAGATGAGCACCGAATTCCTTCCGCGACGAACCTTTACGGAAATGACGCCTCCGCGGCCGTAATGTGGAACAGTCGCATACGAAATGCGGAAGACAATCTGTCCGAGCTGATGCTGTACAGTCCAGTCAGATGATACTACTAACAGAAGCACATTGAAAGCTCGCGGAGGAATTGCCTAGAATGGTTGCAGCTTGCATAGGCTAGCCAGGGTCGAGCCAGTACGAGCCCGAACCAGAAGGATCTCGCCATAGCTAGGCCTCGGATACCATTGTCGGAGTTCTGACAGAATGACATGCGCATGCTTGATGTGGCCGATTCATCTGTAAGCGCCGGTCCCGGTGCGAATTCGCAAGCAAGGGGGCCCACGGGAATGAGCGAACCATAACCCGATTCACGTAAGGAATGGACAAACACAATAATAGATCCGTAGGAACGGATCTGAGAAGTGATGACAGTCAAAATAGAGCACACAGATGCGACTCGAGCGTGTGTACCGTGCCGTGAACAATAAGCCTGGGAGCCGGCACTCGCCAGAGGAACAAGGATTACTTATTCGGACGACAAGATGGACGAAGAGGGAAGGTAAGAGCCGACCAAATGCGAGGTGTTCGGACAGTTCTCAGCATTCCACATAGAAGTCAGGGTACCTTTAACGTCGTCCGGTCGCGTGCATCAACACACGTCGTGGTGCATATGAGGTTGTGTGATTGGAACCCCAGAGAGTTGTGTCTAAGTGTTCACCTGTGTACATAACTCAGAATATCGGGCGTCCACAGCTATGAGTCGATAGGCTAGAGTTAGATATGTCCGAGCCCCCAGTGCGTTGAGTGGCCTTCTGTATGATAATCAGAATCTAATGACCTTGTGTGACATTTCGCGTATCTACATTTTGTGAATTCCCCAGATCAGAATCGGTGCGGCCTTCCAGCCCAAGCCAACGAATCGACAGCCACACTTCACCTTGATAGAAGGGTGGTCAAACGAGACACGATCATCGAGATACGCGTGTGGGAGGAACGTGGTGGCAAAATCTATAAGCGGTGGGGCCAGCAGATCGCGATGAATTCAAATTCAAGTACGGCGGTTTCGTTCAAATTGCGATTTCGATCCAACGACTCAGAGTCCCAGACTTCTGCGTCCTGATGAGCAACGTTCAAAGTGCAGTCCAGCCTAGGTCTCGACACCATTTTACTAATGGAATTCATCATCAAGCTGCTGAAGCAAATCAAGCTGCTAGCTTGTTAAGCATGGTGGTCACCGTTGGTATATTTAATTTACAAATAGTGATTCCTCCTTCGTAAAGCCGGCCATAGGATTTACTGCGCTGTTGCGCAGCGCCTCCTTTCGCATTTGAGATTTTTGCAAAGCATGTTGCACCATGCCTGAAACACACTGCCAGGAATTTCTCAGATGTCTCCCTCCGTTATATCAATTCTCGAGTGCGCGGAATATCTGAGCCCCGCGATCCACCAGCCACCGGTCAGTGGCCGCAGCAAGAATCACGAGGTGCGCAGCTGCAACGGGGTGTCACGCCGGTATACAATTGCGATCTAGCAATGGCGGCATGGTGGAAAGCAAAAGAAGCCGGCATTGCTAAGCCGCAGACCTTCGTTGGGGATAGAATTCATTGAGGCTATGTACGTGATATGCGTGGATGAACCGCTGGTGGCAATATCGTGTCTGGAGCCCATGTCTTAGGAGTTAACCACCTTCCAACCGACCCTGAGTGAGTGTAGCAGAAATTATACATTCCAGGGCGATGACGTACACAGAGAAGAAAACCCCGGGTTCTGGGGTAAGCTTGATATACTTCCTTTGTATCATGACACCAAAACCCACGGCGCCGTTGGGGATCTGGCGAGGTACTGGGTGTGTTTGTATGAGTTGAGCCTGGAATTTGAGGCGGTGTCCAAACCGCACTGTTAATCGCCGCCGTAAACCACTTCTATAGCCAGAGAAACATCCACAGAACGCGATCCCATATTGAGTGAGTGAACGTGGCTGACGCGACAAATAGGCGTTTTCACACGAGAGCTGCTAGATGATGCGCAAGGTGGTTCGAGGAACACGAGGCATCTGCTGGCGTTTGGGGGTAAGCCCGAACATTCGTGACCTGGGTGGCTCCCAAGAAGCCACAGCGCCTCTGACAATGCGTCTGTGTACCCCTTATATAAGTAATTTAACATTACATCAACCCAAAATATGTGAGTACAGCAGACTCACGGGTATAATACATGTTGAACTGGTATGCTACATCGCACAGTTACAAGCCTTCTCGCGCCCGTACATCCTGTACAACAATGCTCACGAATCAATGATAGGTACAATGTGTCGAAGAGTCTCCGGAACTAGTTTAGCGGGCAGCCTTGAGATTTTGTCCAAGGGAGCGCGCTTTGCAAGGCCAAGAAGGTCCAGGCGCAGCTGCCGCATCACGGGATCCTCCTCGCACTCTTCCTCTTCCTCCTGACGACCGGCAGCCGCGGGGTCTTCTGGTATTTCCCTCTTGTCTTTCTGCTCCGCTGCCACGGCATCACCCGTCCCGCGCTGCCTTATCTCGTCGATGATGTTCGCAGCATGGTCTAAAACGTATTGCAGCAGCCCTGCATCGTACTGCGCCGCACCTGTGAGTCCCTCCTGGTGCTTCGCGATTGCATATTGCAAGTACTCCGCTGCGCTGCCCTGATGGGCGCTGTCCTCTTGCCGCTGCCGCGCCTCGCACCACGCCTTCCCAGTCCAGGCTTCCTCGACCTGGTACAGCTCCTCCGGTCGGCGGATTAGCGGCGTCATGTCGATCGTGTCGCGCATCATACACCGCATCTCGGCAAGCTCCAGCGCCGCGCGTGGATACGCCTCGAGCGACAGCGAGAGTTGTCTAGATACATCGGGGGATACGGGGAATCGGGGATCTTGTAAGCGGTGCGTGATCTCGCTGAGGAGACGGTGGCGCCCGTCGGTTAGCGGGTCGACGATGTGTTGTTCGACCCATCGTGCCAGCGGCACGCCAAGTGGCGAGGGTGCAGGCTGCTCTCCGGTGTCCTCCTGCAGTGGCGGTCAATATTAGAAAAAATTACGAAAATGTGAGGTTCAACTCACCAGAGGTTCATCCAGACATGTGAACTCGGCCAGACTACGTACGTATGCGAATCCGTCTATTCCACCGTACACCACGTCTCGAAGGTACTGCTCCGCTTCCGTGCCCTTCCCTCGCCAGTAGTCTTCGGGCTCTCGTATTTCGACTTCTGGCGCCTTCGCATGTACACCTACACTGGCCCGTATCGCCTCAAAGAGCTTGTCCTTCGTGCCGTATCGAGCCGGCTGTTGCGCACTCAGCATACTGCCTAATGTCGCGAACGTACCGAAGTCCTCAGCGGCTGGTTCCCTTGTGGGGACGTCAGCATCTTCCTCCTCATCGCGCTGTTGCCGATTTCGCGACGGAGCGGTGCGTGTGATAACCCAGTGGCGCCGTTTTGGCTTCGACTTTAGTTTCCCTTTACTTGAGGAAGGCTGGGAAGCGAGAGAAGTAAGTGCAGGGATCGTGGTGGCGGGAGTGATGTTGACAGGCGGATTGATCATGCCTTCGATTGAGTCGGGAGGGCGCGGGTAAAGTGGGGTTAGGGAGGGACGCGACAGGGATTCAGGAGCAAAGAATGAGAGGACAGAGAAAGGGTTATCAACTAGGAGTAATGTCAGACAGATCCCCGCCTTCAGATAAAAATATGTCCTCACGTTCTGTAAAATCCAAACTAGCGTCTGCGCGATACGGCGGGCCACCCTTTTCCATACGTAGTCGCTCCTTCTTAGTTCGATGCCGCTTCCCTAACTTGTCCATCAGCACATCCGCCATTGAATAGCGTTAAATCACGTACCACGTAACTTCAATGCTAGCATCAGGTCCGCCCATTCTGTCCCTGGCGGGAACGCGCCTAAGCCTTCCTTGGCTCCAGGAAGCCCACCATCGTCCTCCAGGCTTTCCGACAGGGCACCAGGGGGCTTCTTCGCTGCTCCACCTCCCCGCCGCCTGCCCCCACCTTGCGGCTGCGTTTGCGACTGCACCACGGGCGTCTGGGCGGACGCAACCGACCCATTATCGTCTCCCTCCATAGGTGTACCCTTCTCCGCCGTGGGGGGCACGTCCCCGTCGTTGTCATCACGCTCTATCTCAATGTTCCAGTCGGTCTCATACTCGATGACGCTTGAGGACGCCTTGCCGACATGCTCGAGCGCCCATGCCTCAATCCGCTCCGCTTCAGTGTGATATATTGTCCCCGGCGGGTTGAACATCTTAGCGTTAGTAGTCACCAACCGCACGTCATCCTACGACCTACATGAGCGGGCGTAACGATCACGAAGGTCTTACTCACAGCAAACTCTTCAAGCGACCTATAACGCCCCTTCTCCACCTTCGTAGTCATTGTGCCAAAGTCCATTGGACGTTTAACAACGTCCATATATCCTTGCACCTGCGAGATGTCCACAGGCTGCAAGAAGAATGCATAGTCATCCTTCCTGCGCGTATGACATGTGTATTAAGAACCCAGCGCGTAGCAATGCAGCCCACTCACTTCTTGATTTGAACAATGAGCCTCGTAAGAACTTCCTTGAGCGGCTTAAGCTTTGGAGGTCTCGGTATCTTCTTCGGGGGCTCTTCGTGCACCGCGCTGAAGCCTTTCCTCTTCTTCCCCTTCAATGCTTGTACAGTCTTCAAGGAGGGTAAAACAAGCTTGAGACCTGAGCCGCCGCTTCCGCTGGCATGCGGAGAATCATCGTAACCCGTACTTTCAATGTCGACCATTGCCTACAAGCTAAGCCAGTAACTGCAGCCACAGGTTACGGTTTTCACAAAAGCGGGCAGTGCTCAAGCAGAGAGCGAGAGATGTGAGTCTGAGGAGAAGTATATGTGTAGACCAAGAATGCCGTGTAGTGGCTGGCCTTTGCGTCTGTGGGTCTTGTAGCTAGACTTAGTCGCGGTCACTGGCAAAGCAGGGTTTGGCGATATATCTGGAAGCGCCCATATTACATGATCCACGCGTGCATCCAACGGGCGTCTGAAAGGCGTCTGAGCAGTACTTGCCAGTAGGGACACATCCAGGTCGCAGCCCCCGCAATCTTACTCGTCGCATGCATGAGTTCACTGGCATTCTTGGTGACGGAGCTTCAGGTATGCAACGCTGGACGCCGAAATGAGAGTATAGTTGACATGTATGATCATAGTCTCTCGCGAGTGAGACGCGCAGGAAGCATCCTGATGTTCGCGAGGTGTCTGTCGTTGTGTTTCGTTGTCTTTTTCTGAATGGCTTCATAGTATTGTTTGTTTAGGCTGCTGAGAAGTCATTGGCGATACTACGCTCTTCCCCAGAGCAGGCTACAATCAATCTAGCCGCAGGTACGCTCTCCTTGCGGCGCGGTATTGCTGTCGCACTCACACCGTTCTAGATGGACAACAGTCAGAGGACTTACTGCGCCCCGTCTTCATGGGATGCGCGACGAAGAATGCAAAGGTGGTCGCCATATCCCTGGGCTCGCTCCAGCGCCTTATTGCTCTCAAAGCCGTCCCGCAATCCGCGGTCCCAGTAATTATCAATACCATGAACGACTGCATGAACCAGGGCGTGGATATCCAGCTACGCATTCTCCAGACGCTTCTCTCGCTCATTACCAACCTCCCTGCTGTCCACGGTCAACTGCTGGGAGACGTAGGTTCTTCACCCGTACGCCATGTCGTACGGCGCTGACTGCGCACCAGGCTCTACTCTTGTGTTTTAGGCTGCAGGAGTCGCGCATTGCGGTAGTATCCTCGACCGCTGCGGCTACTCTGCGTCAACTAGTCATGTTTGTTGTCGACAAAGTTGTCGACGAGGATCGACGAGACGAGGTCGATGTCAGCGCCATGGTTGAGACGACCCTGCCGAACGGCGAGAATAAGGCGCTCGGACCTTCGGCTTATGATGCATACGCCGTTTTTGAAGATCTATGTCTCTTGGCGAATGCAGAGCGCCCGCGATTCCTGAAACTGGATGTGCTGCGCAAGACATTCGCGCTTGAGCTTATTGAAAGTGTCTTGACGAATTATCACGATCTTTTCCGGAAGGTACGCATGTCAGAACCTTTCAATAGCTGCCATACTTACAGTGTAGTCTCAGCACACAGAACTTTTGTTACTCCTTCAACATCACCTGTCACCACTCCTGCTTAAAGGTCTGTCCGACCGGCCGAATTTTCCACTAACATTACGTTCGACACGTGTTGTATTCCTGCTGTTGAAGCAATTCTCCCTGGAGCTCAAGACCGAGTCTGAGGTGTTTCTTACACTCCTGATTAAGATCGTAGGCACCGAAGGAAGCGACAATGATGTTACTGACAATGCACATCCCCATGCACCTCGTCCGCTGTGGATGCGAGTACTTGCCATGGAGATCATGCGAGGGTGAGTAGCTCATCGTTTTGCGCTTCTCGCCGGAAACTAAAAGGTATCGTGCTGTAGGCTCTGCAGCGATTCTGAACTGATGCGGAATGTATGGGACCGATACGATGCTGAGGAAAGCGGCTCGAAGGTGTTCACGTCGCTCATCGCTGCACTGAAGCGACTCGTCACCGAAAAGCCTGCCCTGCTCGGAGTCTGTGCGCAGATGTTCGGTGTTGGGGTTCCAACGAGCACCGGGTCCTCGTCGGATCTGAGCTCTTATGGGCTCGATGTAGGTGGGGTCGCAGGGATGGTGGCCACCGCTGCGAGTGCGACGGTCTCCGGTGTTGCGAGCATGATTGGACCCGAGGTAGGACTCAGCCTGCAAGGATCGTCCATGAAGCTGCAATGGTCAGCACTGCGCCTTTGCTTTGCGACAGCTTGTGCTGAAGTTGCCCTGACACCACAGTATCGACCAGTTGGACAAGGCGGACTCTCCCATCATCCCGGAGTCGTACCTTTACTTACTTGGCGTACAATGTCTCGTCGCGCTATGCGAGGGTTTCGCCTCGTTCACTGGACCCTTGTACAACTCACTCATGATCCAGCGTCCGCGGTCTGCGGGAGAGCCCGTCGTGCGTGCCCCGCCTGCGCTCGAGCTGTCGAATCTCCCGCCCAACGAGCTTAACACGAAGCAACTGATGACGGTACATGACATGATCGAAAGCGGATGGCCCGCCCTGCTTGCCGCGCTTTCGTTTTTGATCTCCACTAACCTCTCCGACGAGCTCTTTGTGGACGTACTAGCAAGCTATCAGGCGCTGACGACTGTCGCGGGCATGCTCGGACTTTCGACCCCACGCGACGCGTTCTTCACCAGCCTCGCTAAGCTGGCTATTCCTGCACGTGTGGTGTCCAGCCTCCATTCTTACTCGCATGCTCCCATCCATGCAGAGCCCATCACGCCTCGCAGCGCAGCGAGTACGTTCTCGGAAAACTTAGGTTTGTCACTCGCTGGCTCTGCATCATCCCAAACTCCTGGTCTCTCGGAGCGGAACATGGCCTGCTTGAAGGTCCTCGTCACGAGCGCTTTGTTCCTGGCCGGCAGCCTAGACGAAAGCTGGTTTAACATACTTGAGGCTCTGCAAAATGCCGACTATGTGCTCACTGTCAGGGGCACGCGACAGCCCGCTGCTAAACGCAATACACTAGGACCGGGTAGCGCACCTCCTAGTCGCGTAGCATCAATGAGCTCCCAATCTCCCCCTCAGTTGGGCAGTGGTCCAAGCGCTTCCGCATCCCCGCAATCACAAGGCAGACATCCGCTGTTGGTCGATCTCGACCCAGATAGCATGCTTCACGCTATCCAACGCCTCTTCGACGCATCCAAGAACCTCGATGACGATGCCTTCCATCACTTTGTGACTTCTCTATGCAATTTGAGCGCAACCATGATCGTGATGCAGTCAGAAGGCGGTGACCTATCAACGTCTGTGTCAGCGTCCGTCGACGAACTTGTTACTAGCCCGAGCCTACTGCCACCCACAGAGCAAGCCCATCGCCGGCGGGTCAGTGGTATTCACTTGCCCCGTACTCTGGTACGTGTCTTTAGTATCTGTATCCCGCGCGTATACAGGCTGACCCTGGGCTATACAGCGTTCTGGCGATTTTAGCATAAGCAAACTCGGTGGCGTCGCTATGCTAAACATCCATCGGCTCATATATCGCTCATCGGATATCGCGTGGGATCCTATTACTGGACATCTTCTCGTCGTCATCCGCAATGCCGTGGCACCTGCACCAGTTCGGATTCAAGCAGCACGTATCTTAGACGATATTTTAGTAGTCGTACCCCGCAATATATCGACGACGGGAGAACTTCAGCCCAAAGTCCAGAAACGTGTTTTGGACGTGCTCTCGCAGCAGGTCATCCTTGAAGGGGTGCACAATACCACGAGTATTGAAGTACGCCGGATGGGATTTGAGACCCTCCATCAGATCCTGCAGGCTTCGGGACATACACTCGTCGTGGGTTGGGAGACGATCTTTGAGATGCTTAGCAGCGTTTGCAGACCGATGATGCCCTCGTCAACGTCGCTTTCGGACATTCCTGAGGCTTCTCCGGCCGTTGAAACGCCTCGCGGCAAGCCTCCACCTCTAGGATACACTAATGACAGAGGCCAAAACTCTCTTGTGAAGATTGCCTTCCAATCATTGACTCTGGTCTGTGACTCCCTGTCCGCACTGTCGCCAGAGCACCTTCGTCTCTGCATCAGCACATTGGGCCTATTCGGTCGGCAAGCAGATACCAACATTGCTCTAACGGCAGCAGAGAGTTTGCTCTGGGGAGTATCCGATTCAATCCAGGCAAAACGCAAGGATACTGAGAAGGAGCCCGAGTACAGTGCTCTGTGGATGTTCTTGCTACTGGAGGTCTTGGGTCTCTGTACAGACGGTCGACCTGAAGTTCGCGTAGGCGCCATACAGACCTTGTTTCGTACCCTTCAACTTTACGGAGCGACACTCAGCTTGGACACATGGGAGGAATGCATGTGGAAGATCACCTTCCCCCTGCTCGATGCGACGACGGACGCCATACGACGGACAGCCGCTGCCAGCCCTTCCGACGAGACCGACCCAATGGAGGCACAGTGGGACGAGTCTAAGATCCTTGCGCTCCAATCCGTCGGCACGACCTTCAGCGAGTTCCTTCACTCCAAGATCATCCCTCTGGAGTCTTTCACGAAGGCGTGGGATGTCTTTGTCGGACACATACAAGATGCATGGCTACATGATAACCGCAGTGTCAGTGCTACTGCCCTACGCTGCCTTGACAAGGCTACAAGGGCGTTGGAAAATACAGAGGGAAGCAGCGAGAAGACGACCGAGGCGCTGGAGAGAGTGTGGAAGGCCTGTGACGAGATGGGCGCGGTCGTCTTTGCCAGACAATCTACTGCCGCTGTCACTCAAGGGAATCAGGCCAAGCTTGTCGTTAAGCCATTCACGCAAGAGAGTCTCATGGCATACGTGGATGTGCTTCGCACGACGCGGTCGGTCGACAAGAGCCAAAATCAACGCGAGTGGCCTCTCGAACGACTTGAACGAGTAATGATAATACTCAAAGGTAATCTTATCACATTCTAAATGATTTCAGCTGTCTCACATCACGAAGGAGTCTTGACGTACTCGGAATCTCCTGACTTTAGACCGGATGTAGACAACCTCTCGCCTGTGCAGGTCGGCACCAGCGCTGATATCATGTAGTGTGGCCACTGACTTATAATACCAGGGCGCGGTCATGGATGTTATTGACAGCATAGACCTCTCTAGCACGGGTGTCCCTTCCCTCGTTCTACGCGACCTGTCGGAATATGCGACCCTAGCATTCGTGGCTGCGTTTGACATTCCCGATCCGGCATCCACAGTGCGATCGCCTCCGCCTGCATCGGCAGCCCATACACAGAAACGCGTCACATACATTGCGTTGTCCAAGAAGACTATGCCAATGCTCGTGGACCTTTACTTGCGGTTCAAGGACGAGATGGCGATATATGTCGACGGCACCCTGGAGCGACTGTTCTCTGTGCGTGCATGTCTGGCGTGCGGTGTGCATATCGGTCTCCTCACATGTTTTACAGGCGTACGGGGTGCCGATAAAGCTCAAGTACGAATGCCCCGCGCCGTCAAAGTTCGGCAAGGACCTTCCGTTGTGGAAGTCCGCCACGACCTGCCTCTTGCGCATCGTCAAGGAATGCGGCCCTCCGATGCAGACGCTCGGGGACGGTGAGGACGCGATTCGCGCCACGACAATGCCCGTCTCGATAGATGCTGACGCGACACACAGCCATCCCAGCCGACAGGCAAGAGGGCGTCTGGAGACAGGTCATCGAGACCTTCCGCGGCGGCATCCTGGCAGACTGGTAAGCACCCTGCTGTCATCGGTGGAACACGGGCCCTTAGACTCATCCGCCTGGCGACACACGCACACAGCTCGGCATCCGAGGGCCTCGCGCTAGAAGCGCAGGAGGCGGAGGAAAACTTCGATCTGGCGCTGATCGCCGCGCTCGAAATCGACGTGGTCCCGTACCTGGGCGACACATGCATCCCGGACTACCTCGTGGTCCAGCTCGCCAAGATCCTCCAGCAGGGCAGCCGCCTGCGCGACCCCGACTCGCAGCCGCACACGCCCGTGGGCGCCGGCCCCGCGAAGGACGACGCGCGGCTCTCGCAGGAGTACGAGAAGGTCGACAGGTTCGGCGACCCCGAGCCCGCGGAGGGGTCCACGGAGAGCGGCCGGGCCCGTCCGCGGGAACGCTTTGCGTACTGGTGCTTCGATCTGCTGTTCTTGATCTGCTCGGACACCGCTAAAGGTGCGTGCGTGCGTGCATGTGTTTTCCGTTGCTGCACCCCGTTGCCGCCGCGGCCGCGTGCACGGTGCAAACTAAAACTGACACTGACACCGACCCCGCGCTGCCCACAGATCGTGTGCCCTCGCGCCGGAGGGTGGCCGCGCTGAGCATCCCGGCGCTGCTCGAGCGCTGCCGGGCGACCCTCGTCGGGTACGTCGCGGACGAGGCGTTGCGCGGCAGCCTGCCGTTCCCCAGGTGCGTGCCGTCCGCCAGGCCCGGCTAGAGACAGAGACACACCCGCTCACACTTGCACTCAACACCCACACCCACACAGGGCCCGCGAGGAAGAGCTCCTGTATGTCCTGCAGCAGCTGCTCAAGCTGCAGCTCTGGCCCGGCGCGATGTGGGCCGCGCTCTCGGGCGCGCCGTCCGCGCACGCACAGGAGCAGCCCGGTACGCCCCACGCGCCCTATTTTGTGTGACTCCCGCTCACCCCGCACCTCGCGCGTGCACGCAGGCATCGACCAGTCGCTGCCGCCCGCGCAGCTCGTCGCGGACGCGGTGAAGCGCTCGCCCCGCGCGCACCTGTTCCACTTCTACCCCGTGTTCTGCGAGCTCGCGGCGAGCCCGCGGCGCGCGCCCGTCGCGTTCGTCAGCGCGCCACTCGCGAGTGTTGGGCGCGCCGCGCAGGCTAAGGCCAACAGCAAGAATGGTGAGGCCAAGGCCAGCGGCAAGAACGGCGAGGTGAATGGCAAGAATGGCGAGAGCGACGGCGACGACGTCGAAAAGACGGCCGGCAGCGGGGAGAAGAAGGCTGCAGAGCTGGATGCGCGCACGCTTGTGAAAGAGTGTTTGAAGCAAGTGGGGCGGGAGATGGGCGTAGGACGGTGAGCGGTGAGCGGGCGGCGAGGGCCATGGCAGTTCACGGGCGTGGGCGCAGCGCACACTGTATGTGCATATCGTGTAGACGTGTGCGCGTAATGGCGGTACAATACTGTACAGATAGGATCTAATGATACACGGATGCTCTGGGACCTCCTCGCGCTCTCTCTCGCGCCCTTGCCTCCGTCCTCGCGAGTGCATACCCTACGCGCGCCCCGGCGGGCCCGGCATCGCAGGCAGCGGGTCGCGCAGGTCCGCGTCCGTCGCGCCCAGGAGCGCGAGGAGCTCTGCCTTCTTGAAGATGCGCGCGGTGTCGATCGCAGACGGGGTGCCTGCGCGCGGGTTGGCGCCGGCGGCGAGGAGCGCGCGCACGACGGCGTCCTCACCCTTGAAGACCGCGCCCGCGAGCGGCGTCTGGCCCGTGTCGTTCGCGCGGTCCGGGTCCGCGCCGCGCGCGAGGAGGCCCGTGACGAGCGCGGGGTGCCCGCTGTAGGCGGCGAGCATGAGGAGCGTGTTGCCTGCGTGCGGGTGCGCAGGGAATGGCGCGGCACGGAGACGGGTGTCGTCGGCGGCGGGAGAGAGCGTGTCAGCGAACGTGCGCACATCAAGGATCAAGGATCATGGACCAGGGACCAAGGATCATGGATCATGGACCAGGGACCAGGGACATGCGGACGCGCATACGCACCTTGCTCGTTGGTGAGGTTGGCGGGGAGCCCCGCGTCGACGGCCTGGAGGAGCGTGGGATCGCCCTTGCGCGCGGCGTTGAAGACGCTGCGCGCAAAGTCGAGCGTCTCTTGCGAGAGCTCTTCCGGGGTCGGGGCGGGCGCGGGGGTGGTCGGGGCGGGGTCTGCCTGAGGGCCATGCGAGGTATCAGCGTGTCGGCGAGAGCGAGAGAGAGAGAGAGCGGACGACGCACCATGTCTATGTTAGTGGGCCTGCGGTGGCTGTTGGGCAGGAGGAGCCGGGGCGGGGGTGGGTGCTAGCTGGGGGCAAGGGCTGGGCGACGGCCCCTTTTGCGCTGCTCCTACTCCTAATCCTGACTCTCCTCCTCCTGCGGGGTGAATTTGTCAAGGTCATATGTACGGGCACGTGTCTGGTTGTGCGATCGCAGGGGTGGATGAGTCTCGTGCCGGCGGGGAGCGTGATACTGCTTGGTACTCGCGTGATACTACTTGGTACTAGTGATGGCGGCGGTATGTAGTGGTACGGGAGCAGCTGGCGTGGGACGGCAGCGCTGCCTTCAGATGTGTATATGTGCGCATGTGTGCGCCACTAGCATACGCAGGATGCGTGTACCCGCCTGTATGACTGCCCACCCGACACTTGGCCCAATACAGAGGCAATCCTGTAGTGTTTAGGAGACAGAAGGCGACTGACTGGCAAGCAAGTGGTGATGGTGGTAGGGAGGAAAGAGAGAACGAATGATTCCTTTCTTGACTGCGTCGCACACCGCGCGACGCAGGCAGGCAAAACGCGCATTGACGGTCTTCGCACGCCCATTATACCCGATCAATCTATGCACACACGTATATACATATATATAAACGGACGGCGTCACGGTCTACGCACGGAAGAGCAGAGCAACAAGTAAATAAGTTAAAGCAACGGCCAACGCAATCGTTATCCGTCCCCGCCGCCCGTCCGCCACTCCCCCCGGCGCAAGCAGGCTGTCCCCCCTTTAGATAGATAGCGACGGCAATGGCAACGGCAATGGGAGACGACGATGTCGGAGTACTTATACAAGCATTATGGACGATGGCAGCCATGCGGCGGATATGCGAATAGATACAGCGATGAGACGACAGACAAAATGATCCAGGCGAGACACTGTGCATGTACGTTGTTGTTGTGTTCGCTTCCCAGTCCCGCGACCGGCGAACGAGACCGCGCGCGCGCAGCCTCGCACTACTGGATCCGGTCCCACTGCCGCATGCACGAGTAGCCGTCATAATCTGCACACCACGCCCCCGCCGCTCGTCAGCACACACCGCGGGCCACACAAAACCACCCCGACGCACCAAAGCTCCCCTGCGGGTTGCACGAGCACCGCCCGCGCGCCCACGCCCCGGCCCCGCGCGGGCAGTGCGTGTACGGGTTGTGCTCGTACCCGATCTCGTCAAACAAGTGGATCTGCTCCTTGCGCGCGAACAGCGCCGCCGCCAGGCTGTGCACCGGCGCGTCGCCCCAGCGCTGTGCGTGTCGATCGTCGCGCATGGAGAGAGGAGGAACACACACACAAACAAGGGACGAACATGGAAATTGTTAGCACACCTCGCGGCAGAACAGAACAGAAACACGCTGCACGCTGCACGCGCGACGCACCTCGTAGTAGAACCCGCCCTTGGCGTCGAGAAAGTCAAAGTAGGCCGAGTACGCGTCCCCGCGCCAGAAGTCCATGTCCGCGATCTCAAAGTTGCTCCAGACTATGCGATCGGCGGGCGCGTGTGTGCGCGTATACAGAGGCATGTGGAGGTGCCGCGCGTGCGGACGGATAGACGACGCACATCACAGGTGTGGGGGGAGGGGTTCAAAGGGCAGCCCGTCAGCTCGCGCACGAGAAAAGGGAACGCAGCACAACGCACAGTGACACAGGTTGTACGTCTCCCCGCCGTTGTCCGAGATGTAGCCCATCGCGTTATCCTGCGCGACGTGCTCCGGATGCAGGCGCATGAACTCTGTGGCAGGCAGTCAGCGGTCAGCAGGCGCGCGGAGGGCAGAGGAGGGAGTGCGCAGTGCGCAGTGAGGGAGTGAAGAGTGCGGAAGGGAGTGAAGGAGTGAAGGCGTCAGTGAGTGCGGGAGGGAGGGGAAACGCGGCAGAGGAGAGAGGTGGAACAGCATAGATGCAGACGCACCCTTGGTCGTCTCCCAGAGCGTGGGGATCGTCGCCTCGTACTCGTACATCGTGATGGTGAAGCCTGCGGCGGGGGAGGAGAAGGGGGCGTTGTCAGCGCTGGCACAAGGGCGGGGGAGCATGGGAGCATGGGAGCATGGGAGTAGGTGTGAGCGCGAGAAAATGTGTCAGTGAGTGAGAGAGCACGCGGGGGATCGGCGCGGACGGGGGCGGCGCAGAAGAGGAGGACGGAGACGGCGCGAAAGAAGAGGACGGGGACGGAGACGCACCGTAGACCTTGCCGTGGTCCGCGAGGTAGCGGAAGGGGTCAAATGGCGTGTCGCAGTGGAAGTGGACGTCGGGCCTGTACGGACGGGCGCGGGTGAGGAATGATGCGCGAAACAGAGGGAGAGGATACGGACTCTACGCGCCAGTACCAGCGGTACTGCTGGAGGAGCGGATGGCGGTAGAAGAACTGTGGAGAGATGCACGAGAGGCCGACATTGTCAGAGGGGCGAGGAGGATGGGCGGGAGATGGGAGGGACGTACGCCCGAGTTGAAGCGGCACATGTTGCGGTAGCTGGAGGAGAGGTGAGGACGCTGGATGCGAGATGGGGACGGGGACGCTCACGAGAGGCTGCCTGGTGGGGAGAGGTTCAGGGTGAGTGAAGAGCGCGGGCAATGAGAGAGAGCGGGCAATGAGAGAGAGCGGGCAATGAGAGAGAGCGGGCAATGAGAGAGGGCACGCACCACCGTAGATGATCCCGTCCTTTTCCATCTTTTCGCGGCCAGCGCGGGCGCGGTCCTCGTCTATGGAAGCGGGCTGGACCCAGTGCTCGCGGGGGACGCGGCCGAAGGAGACGGGGCCGGAGACGACATTCGAGATGCGCCTGCGGAGAGAGGGGTCAGCGGCAGCGCACGCGAGACCGGGGGATAGCGCGCGACGCGACGCACGTCTTGAAGTCGTCGGAAAAGTCGTCGTCATTGAGGAAGACCCAGGGATAGTTGAAGCGCTGGTTGAACGACTGCTCCAGCTCGCGCACGGACCGCACGGCCGACTCCGTGTCCGCGTTGCGCGCGAGCATGAGCAGGGTTGCGTTGGCGCGGGCGGACGCGTTGGCGGGCGGCGCGGGGTGGAAGTAGTCGGTGGGCACGGCCGGCGGGGAAGGCGTGCCCCAGCCGGCGAGACGGGAGACAGAGGTGACGCGGGCATAGTCGTGGTGCGTCAGCGAGAGGATGGAGTGGATGCCGAGCTAGCGCAAGGCCGGTCAGCGCACACACACGGAGAGAGAGAGGGAGGACACGGACGAGGACAAGCAGGACGAGCAGGACGTAGCGGCCAGGCGTGCTCAGTGTGATCGCCGGCATCGCTGCGCTATTTTTGGGCGCGTGGGAGCGCAGAAGAGCGCAGATCGAGGGCGGACGTGAGAGCAAGCAGCAGGCGACAGCAGCGAAGGCAGCGACAGGAACGAGAAGAGACACCGGACGACAGCTGGCACAGAACACCAGCCGCAGCAGCGCGCAGTGGAGCCGCCAGAGGCTGTCCATCTCGCCGGCGCCATCCCCGCCCATGCTGCGCCCGCCGCCAAGCTTTTAATTTGCCCGGCCGATGACGTCACTCTCCGCCCTCGGGCTCAGCTCGCCATCGCCCTCCCTCGCCGGTCACCGTCCGCGCCACCCTGTCCACACACCAAAGTCTCTCGTTCGTCAACTCTGTGCCACTCACATAGCTTGTACACCTGTCGCCCACGTCCACCATATGCAAAGCACGTCTTGTAGAGTTTGTGGAATACGCGACAGAACCCACTGCATATGTGCATGTTCTACAATGCATGGCTGACACTTGTCCGACTGGTCTCTGTCCCGCTTTGACCACAGCACATACTGGTTGCTCGCAAGTCCAATTTGCTCATTCTCTAGGAAGAGCTCGATGCCGAGGAGGCATCACGCTCTCCTCTCCTTGCCCGATCATGCCCAGTGGAAAATAGCTTCGAGCTCATCGACGCTGGTGTGAGCTCATATGTGTCATGGATTGCCATTTGAGCTCTTATGCGTCGATCAGAGCACAATATGTGACTTGCGCTAATGTCTCGACATTTGTCAGCTTAGTGTCCGACATTCGTGAGCTTAGTGCCGACTGCTCCGACGGTCTGATGCAGTCAGTGCTACCTACACTGGATTATCTCGGTCAGCTTGACCCCACGTCTCTGCGCTCTTCCTTTCCTCTCCCCACTGTCATACACACTCACCATTTCCCTGTCCGCGCAAACGACGACAAAGCTACCCATACCGCCTATGTCTGTCGCACCGTACAGCATACACGCACATCTCATCTAGCAAGGAAACTGGAGAGACCATGCACGAAGAGATTGTGCGGCGTCGCGCACAATCTTGGCGTGCAAGTACTGGTGCGCAATCCTCTTGATTCTCTGTTATATGGAGCTCTGGATCCGCCTCTCGCGTTTCTCAGCATTCCCCGCGCTATGGCAAGTACAATTGTCCGCCTCCTCCGTGATCGTGCATATGGGCTAAATGAGACGAGTGCCGGGGCCGCTCGCATAAGATCAGGGGGACGGAGTTCACCTCGGCGCCACACGGGCACAAGAGGATATCATAGGATGCGCTCTCAGCTGGCGCGGTCAGCGTTGGTACGCTCCCTTTGCATTTGCCATTTGCCATTTGCCATTCTGCTGATCTGTCCGTGCACATTGCTCGTCTGTCTAGCCTGTCTGCGCCCCCCTGCATGTCGCTCTCGCACGGGCACTTGTATCCGCGCTTCTGTAACGGTAAGCTCTGCACCATGTTCGCATTTCTAGGATACCGTTGACCACTGACCGCATGGCCCCACACATCGCGCCACATCCAGTTGCCTATCATATTTGCCCTACGCCCCGCCCCCCAGGCAAGGTCTGGGGGGGGTGGGGTTGCATAGTCGACCCTACTCTACCTTCTCTGCCCGCCGCGCTTTCGGGGGACCAAGACGATGCACAGTATGCGAGCTCATCTCGCCCGTGGGTACTCAGTCCGCCTGAAACCTGTAGTGCAAAAGCACTGGGCGTTCCACCCTCCCCAGGGCAGTTCCGTACGAGGGCGCGGAGCACACTTCTAAGATCGCCCGCACTCCATGTACCTACATTGTATGCAGCGGAATCGCAAAAAGCACCACAGCGCATACCACAGGTCCTGACATCATTGGTCTGTCTTGTCTGTCTCTCAAAATGTCGCGTCCCCCTGGGCTTGCTTCCATTCGCGCCCCAGTGGCATTTCCCCCGAGCCTTTTTCTTGTTTGCAGTGCCGCTCTACACGCTGTTGGGATCCTCACATTGCTCACTGGCACATTGCAACGACACGGCGTGGTAATATAGATGTGGCGCGGGATGGTCTCCGAGCCCGCTAATGACGCAGGGTGTCGCACCGTACACGACAGCACGACGAGAGCATTGGCATAGCAAGAACAACAACACAACGAGAGCATCGACACGGCACGAGAATGACACAACAAGAGAACGACACAGCAATAGCATGACACAACATGTGGCCCACCACAGGAACCGTCTTGGAAGGCCGTCTTCCCACTACCACGACAACAGACGACCCCGCGGCCAGCATCACG